CAGTCTTTTCTCCAAGGCTTCCTTCAAAGATAAGATGTCTCCACTGTAAGGATCACGGACCAGGGAGTCACTGTGAATGATTCCCATGCTCAATGCCTTGGATAAAGACAGAAAGCCTTCCCTGGACATGACAGAGTTGGACAAGGGATCATAAATTCCATTGTTAATGGCTTCATCCAGGGTCAAACTACACTTGCGCCCCAGCACTGAGCTTCTCCTTCTACCACTGCAGGCTTTTGGTACTCCTAGACATTCTGACATGGACTGCAGCTTCCCTCCAGGGAGAAGAAGATCTAATGTGTCAATGTTTAGTATGCCATCAGTGATTGCCTCTTGTAAACTGATACTGCGGCCATCATGCTGGGTCAACACAGAGCGTGGATCTATGATGCCATCTCCAATAGCCTGAGTGATTGTGATGGCTTTCTTTGTCTGAGGATGGATTATCCTCTTCTCATCAAAGTCCAGCAGGCCAAACTCTGCAGCCGTTGTCAGATCCAAATATGGACATGGAGTGTTTCGAACTAAACCTTTCAGCTTAGCAACCGGTAATGTGTATTTCTCTCCACTTGATGTATCCACCACTGATCCACTAGACACATCCACCATGCCCATATCAATCGACTCTCTGAAGTCATAGGTAAGTCCCGTGCTTTTTTCTACAATATACGTTCTGTCAGCAGTGAGAAGCTTCTCCTTGTAAGCAACTTTAAAAGGCAACCTCTTTTCACCGACTTGAACATTCCCTGACTGTTGATCAATTAGATTTTTCTCCAGGGCTTCAAATACTGACAAAGGAAACAAGTGTCCTATGTGATCAGAGCATATGTCTGCTAAATGATCACTTGCAAAACTGTTGAAGGTCACGTTTGCAGCATCATTTCCTTGGTCACAGATCAAACCAGCTTCCACAGCATCGAAAAATGACATTGAGGTTTTCAGCACAATGTGATAATATGTATTTTCAACTGGGTCTAAAATATCCTTAGAGATAGCATCTTCCACTGTAATCCATTGTTCATGTTCCACATCCAAGACTTCTTGGACAGCTACATTAATGAGTCCATCTCTAATGAAGTCAGAGAGAGTTTTACCTTGGTTGAGCGTGTCTGATGGATCCAAAAACCTCTGCAGACTCCGGTTAAACTTTGGTGACAGTATGGATCTATGCAGAGAAACAGGCTTTGAGTCAAATATAATCCCTGCTGTTGTAGCATCATCCCAACTCAACCACCTTCCAGATGTGGTGTCTCTGACCTCAGCTGAATAAGGGTTGAACAAGGAGTGTAATATTGCCTCCGGTATGCTAAAACTATTTCCACTCTGTTTGTCAACAACTTGTATAGAGACTGATGCCAGTCCAGCTGCAACCACATCAAGAAGACCAGATCCCAGTTCTCGCCTCAGACAGCCAACCATATGTTCATCACTGACCCTATCACTGGACACCTGCAACTTGACAATTCCCTGTTTGACTGCAGCCTGAAGACTCATTGATGTGCCAGAATTTACATCAACTACCCTTCCCGTCTCCTGGTCTAACTGACCACAATTCAAGGCATCAGTTATGCTAACAGAATCTTCTTTGTTTGAAAGCTGAACCTGCAAATTTCTGGGTAATATCGAACCAGCAAGAGCTTCTTGTAATCCAAGTAGAGATCCTTTTCTGGGATGAACAAACTGTTCAGCATCTTGATCCCAGAAACTGTTCAGCAGATTTGTCATGTACACCTTCAACAAAGTATGATAATCTTCCTGCAGATCATAGCTGTTATCTGCACTGCCTTCCTCAGTTTCCATTCTGTCATCATCTAAGTCTGCTTGTGACTTCTTCAGAAATCTGGTGTCTGTCTGTGACTTCTTCATCTGTATAATGTTTGACAGCAAGCCAGCCCTGTTGCCAACGAGCCCTACTTTCTGCTGATGGCTGGAATCAACACCCTGAAGTCCACCCTTGCTGCAAGGTGAAGCACTTCCTACACCCATCACTGACTTGATCTCACTTTCATTTGTTAAAGATGCGCTATCCAAACACAACCCATCTGGTGCTGAAGTCACCCCACCTGTGGTACCTCCCACCACAGAGTCCACTATTTTGCTAACATTCAGCACGAGATCTGACCCTGTATGCAACCAAATATCCTTCAGTTTATCATCATCAGTCCTGGTATCAACAAAATCTTTACCATCCTCACCCTTCTCTACCCTAAAACTAGCTGGAACACAAGCGTCATCACTGTACTCACCAGAAGTTACACCAGAAAGTTCACCATGTTTGCCCACTACCTTACTAGTAACTCTAACTACACTACTGCCTACACCCTGATTGTCCACATTGTTAGTCCTAATTACAGTTTGACAAGGAATGTTGCTACTAGCAGACATATGGCATGACCCCTGTAGATAAAAGAACACATCAGGTCACCTGGCTCAATTGCATCACAATGTTTTAAAAAAAAACAAAAAAACACAGGAATTAATTAAAAAAAAATAAATGACTGACTAATATTTCTACAGACACAATCTTGTACTCTACTGGAAAAAAAATCCACCCAAAAAACCCCCAATACATTCTTAATAATCCTAGTTATAACGATTGTCAAATAATGATTGTCAAGGCTTCAGTCACTGATTTACAAGGAATTCCGCAACTAATAACATTTAAAAAGGAAAAATGTTTAGTCATATCTCACAATGTGTACAGCCAAGCTGATTACATAAATACTCTGAAAATAAACAGGGCTGATACACAACAGCAGCAGCACACGTACTGAACATTCTCAGCATATTATGTCACTCACACAAATTCAACTCAAATTACCCACAAATGAAACACATTAATATTCCAACCAGGATCAGGAAATGTTCACTTCAACAGCCGAGTCAGGCCACAATTCTTCATTCATGCTGTGTAAGACGGAGGCTACAAAATGAACACTAAAGGTAGAAGAGAAAGTAACAAACCAATTCTTGTATGCTAACATCACATCAGGCCGAAGGTGTCAGAATCATTTGTGTAGAGACCATCCAGCAGTCAGTGGGTCATGCAGTCAACATCACATCAGGCCCAAGGTGTCAGAATCATTTGTGTAGAGACCATCCAGCAGTCAGTGGGTCATGCAGTCAACATCACATCAGGCCCAAGGTGTCAGAATCATTTGTGTAGAGACCATTCAGCAGTCAGTGGGTGATGTAGTCAACATCACGCCGGCCACCTTTACTTCCATGGACATTGCCTGGTACCTATTATAGGCCCGACTAAGTGATTAAGCTACCTGCATATAGCTCTAAAAGCCGTGGGTTTTTCTGATGGATTGCACTGTTACATTTTACAAGCTGAGACTGCTGCTGGAGCTTGAGAGTTCATGGGTTGTGTGAGACACTCAGCAAGCAGCTACCTGTCTGGCTTGAGTCATGTGGGATAAAATCCACTGCAATGAAGCTGACCCCCTCAACTTTAAACAGGTGAGTATTCATCCCTTCAGTCGTTCCACAGCTGAGTCGTTCCACCGCCGAGTCGCTCCACGCCGTGTCGCTCCATGCGTGTCGCTCCATGCCGTGTCGCTCCATGCCGTGTCGCTCCATGTTGTGTCGCTCCATGTTGTGTCGCTCCATGTTGTGTCGCTCCATGCTGTGTTGTTCCATGCTGTGTTGTTCCATGCTGTGTCATTCCATGTTGTGTCGCTCCACGTTGTGTCGCTCCATGTTGTGTCGTTCCATGTATTGTGTTCCTTCTATCCAGGAATGTGTGGGGAAGCTAACTTTCCTTAATGAATTATTCACTGAAATGTTCAAGTCTCGTATAGACATATATAAATAAGATGCGGCTGAAGTTTACTCGGGTGCATATTGAGTTACATGAGTTGTGTTTGAATCGTGAAAATTATCTTATTGTCAAAATGATGATATTAGCTAATTCAGGCTGATAGATTCCAGTACAACTGAATTACTTCATTCAAAGCTTCACAACCAAATTGAATGATAAAGAGACAACAGAATACAACACATGATACTAGGTTCATTCCATATCCAGCAAAGCACAACGCTTACATTATATAAGTATTATAAAACAAAGGGTATTTAAATTTCTACAGCAGTCCCATTTAGGGGTCTCTCAAACTTCAATTTAACAATGCAACACTTTTTTGGAATTCTAATAGTTGTTATAACTGATAAGTTTTATTTAGTACAACAATGAATGGGGGGGGGGGGGGGGGGGGGAATATGCTGAGAACTTTTGAAGATCAGAAAGGTTTGCAGGTCTTAGACAACTGGGAACCACTGAGCCACAGGCTTCCATGAAGAATAATGGAAGCACTAATATAAAGGCTTGCAGACTGCAGCATGTAACACCGCTACACATGTGTGATGTTAGAGCTCATGCTTAACACGTATTGCTTGGTTTGGGGGAGAATAAGCAGAGTATTTCCATATAATGTTCACACATACATGTATGTCCACTAACATATGGTTCCCTAAATACAGCCAGCGTAAGAGTATACGTAACGTCAAGTGAACTGATAACAATAAACAACTATACAAAATATAAATAGTAAAAAGATTGCTTGGCCCAATAAGCCAGTAGAAGATTTAAAACAAACATCACATAATATAAAAAAGCAAAAGACTGTTCAGTCAAATAGGCCCAAAAAAAGTTTAAAATAATGAACATCACATAGCATAAATAGTAACAGATTGCTCGGCACAAAAAGCCAAAAGAAAATATCAAATAGTGAACATCACATAATTTAAATAGCAAGACCGCTCGGCCAAATAAATAAATCTAAAATAATAAACATAACATAATATAAACAGTAAAATACTGCTCGACCAAATAAGTCAATCTAAAGTTATGAACAACAGAAAGCATAAAATAGTTTTACAATAATTCCTTGGCATAATAAACCAACAGAATATCTAAAATTAAAAACATCCAACAGCAACAATGACAGAAACTTGTAAACTTATAACAGATGGCATAGAGCAATAGCACCAACTACTTACAGGGGTGGCTGGTGTTGGGCATCTGTCCTGAGAGCTGGAACGTCGGGATGATATATGGCGACCACTTGAAGATGTCTCACGTGATGCCATTCCATCAACGCTCTCTTCATCCATGTATTGTGGCTGGGTGTCTTCAAGAGATAAACCTTTCAGGGGCCACACTCTAGCAGTTTTGTCTTTTTGGGTTAATCCAGAGGCAGAGTCAGGGCCTGAGTGTGAAGCTTCATGAAGAACATCAGACACCACTTTGTGGGATCTTGATAAAATGTTGGTGCTGTCTCTTCTACCGTCCAGTACTTCTGGACTGTAAACAGCTGGTTCTTCAACTGTCAGAGTTGGTTTGAGCAGCCCCTTCTGTACGGCTTGTGACACAGATAGGGCCTCTTGTGTGAATGGGTCTGTGAATGTAGCTGTGGTAGTATCCAGATAGCCCTGGCTGATGGCAGTGGCTATATTCATTGGTTCAGTGTCTGTATCAGGACTGTAGCCATTTCCCAAGGCATCATCTTCAGCATCACTGACACTGATAATGTCAGACATCACTGCTTGATCTATGGACATACTTTCTCCAGTCACTGGGTCATGGAGGAGGCCAGTACTGCTATCAACAAGTCCACTTGTAATAGCCTCACTCAGTGTCATCTTACTGTTATTTTTCACCACCGACACTAGACCTCTCCTTTCTGCTTCATCCAGACTTAACTTCTCTCCAGTCTTGGAATCTATTATCTCCTCCAATGTGGATGCTGCACTGGAAGCAACACCCTCTTTCAGCATAACAATGGATTCCCCAACAGCTCGCCCACCATGTGTACCAGCAACTGGGGAAAGGTAGCCCTCTTGAAGTGCCGCTTCAATAGAAATGCATTCACCTGTTAAACTATCATAAAACAAGCAGGTGTCTGAGCTGATGATCCCAGTTTGTAAAGCTGCCCTGAAGCTGTATGTAACCCCAGTGTCGCTAATTCCTCTGTACTCAAATGGTTTTCCATCTGATGAAACAATTAACCCAGACCTAACAGCCTCATCAACAGGGTATGTCTTCTGGGAAGATGCATCAAAGAATGTCCCAGCATTAGGATTGATCAGACCCTGCTCCATGGCATCTTGAAATGTGACAGGCTCTGCCTGTTGACTGGTCATGTTGCTAGACAAATGAGTTTTCTTGATCTTTTCTGATAATACATAGCCAAGCTTCATGGCTTCAGCAAGGGGGATAACCTCACCTGTCAGTGGATCTGTGTACGTGCCAGAAGGATCTAGAATCTTTTTACTAATGGCTTCTTCAACACTAAGCTCCTGGCCACTCTCAGTGTCCAGAACCCCAGTGATGTTATAGGTACCTGCCGGCTTCTTGGATGTGACCGAACTCTGTGATGTTGAAACTGTTTGAATAAAACCAGCGACTAATCCCTCTTTCATTGCATCCTCTATCCTCATTTGTGCCCCTGTGACCGGATCATTAAATACACTACAGGTCTCATCAACAAGGCCTCTCTCAATGGCTTCATCAAGTCCTACCTTGAGCCCAGTACTCGGGTCATAAACTCTGGACACACTTATCTGCTTTGCTTCTTGTGTATTTTGCTTCTGGAGTCCTACGGTGAATGTATCTTTGCTACCAAGTGGTGAAATATCCGTTTTAGTACCTCCCAGAGGTCTGTCTGAATACAGTCCATTTTCCGATTCAGATGTAAATCTGGACTTGTCTTGAAGGTCACTAACAACCACACCATTTGATGTAAAATCCTGTCTGCCGAGTGCCGCTAATTCTTCAATCTGAGCATCAATCTCCTCCCTGTTATTTCTTTTTGTAGCTCTGGCAGAATCTGCAGTCTGTACATCTTTCAGGAGGCCTTGTTTCACAGCATCATTAAGAGCCAAGCTTTCACTAGTTCTAGTGTTTAATTCCCCAGTAGTTTTTGACACATCTTGTAGCTGTACTCCCTGCAGAGTGCCATCACTGATACACTGCTTTAAGTCCTTACCCAGTCCTGACTGTGAATCAACAACACGGCCTCGGTCATCCAGAAGACCATGCTGTAGAGCATATTCTAAATTCACAGCTTTACCGGTTTCTGAATCCAGTATATTGGCAGAATCCTTGTCAATGAGGCCACTCATGACAGCATCTCTGATCTGCATATTCCTCCCAGAGACTGGATCAGTAAAGATGCCCGTTTTGGTACTCAGATGGCCACTGGAGATTGCTTCTGTAAGTGACATAGACTCAAGAGATTTGGTGTCTGAGACACTCCTTCTTATCTGTCTTGAATCTGAAGACAACTGTCTGTCAACTGGTGCTGAGAATGAACCTCTGTCTTCAGGGCTGGAGTCTTTACTGCTCCTGTCACTAAGGAAAGAAGTCAATGATTCTTTAGCAGCAACAGCAGCAGCAACTGGAGCTCCAACCAAAGCAAGAACACCCAGTTTTGCAGCTTCCTTCAGTGTCATCTTCTTACCACTTTCCTCATCAACATAATGTCCAGTGACCGCATCAATCCTTCCATCTTTGATCCCTTCTTTCAGTGAATAAACTTCTCCAGTTTTAACATCAACCACTGTGAGATTCCCATCAATGTGGCCTCTGTCTACAGCTTCTTGAAATGATATGTCCTTGTTAGTTGCCTGGTCATGAAACACACCTCTCTGATCATCAAAGAGGTCGGGGTCTATGGTTTGGCTTACACTTAGCTGCCCCTGGTCCCTAGATGTGTATGGCTCTGTGCTATGTGAGGCTACATGTTTCTCAGCTTCTGTAAACTCTGCAATTCTTTCATACATTGTTGCCAAGGCAGAAGCTGTGGGCATGTTGATCAGTCCCTTCTTCAAAGCTTCCTCTACATTCAAAGTCTCATTTGTGGACTGATCAGTGACTGTGCCCCGGACCCAATCAATGTTCACACCTGGCCTGACATAAGATTTTTGGGAGGAACCCTGAGCTATTGACTTTATGAGATCAGAATCAATGACTCCCTTTTCCACAGCTTCTTTAACAGTTAACTTTTTACCGCTCAATTTGTCTGAAACTTCTCCACTTTCCCAATTGATGTCCACATTCTTCACACTTGATACCTTGAGTGTCCTGATTTTTATATCCTGCAAATGAGTTGGGATTTTTGAAAAACCGTCTTGTCTGTCTGAGTGTTCAGAAACTGTATATTTTGAAACAGATGACACAATTTTATGAGACAAAACATCTGCTGAGTTTGATGTAGGTTCCTCAGAAGATGAGGATGTTGACATTCTCTTTTGGAATGTGACGGTTGTTGCACTGCTGGTTTTATGAACAGATGAGGCTGGTAAGGAACCAGGGTCCACAGTGATTGTAACTGGTTTGCCCACAACTCCAACAACTGGAGATCCTGGGCTTCTCTGTCTATCAACTTGTGTGTCATTGATCTGCTGATCCTCACCTTGCAGACTGCCTGACCTGGCGGGAGTAACCCCACGGTGCACAGTATTTCTAGAAGGTGACAGATAGGACTCTGTACCCTCTGTGATAACTTCAGAGTGAGCTACCACTGTCTTGGCTTTGCTGTTTCTGTCCTTAATTGCATCAACAACCATCTTTCCTGCCACAAGTGGGGCACCAGCTATGACCATTAATCCCATTTTCAAAGCCTCCTGAGGGGACAGTTTTTTACCAGCCTGTCTATCCACAACAGATCCTGATCGATCCACAAGACCTTTCTCCAGTGCCACATCCATTGTCAACTGTTCTCCAGTAATAGGATCTACAACCAGTAACGAGTGTGGTTTCTTACCCCGACCTTCAAATGCATCACTTCCCTGTTCAACCTCTGCAGAGTAATGAAGAACCTCTGTTGCTACACTACTATCTCCTAAGGATCCATCAGTTATAACTGTTTTCTCTAGCTCCATGTCAACTTTCGACCATGGTTTGTTGGCTTCTCTTGGTAATCGTGGAGATGATAGTCTCGCTTCCAGCAGATCTCCTTCTTCTATAGATTTTTCTAACTGGGCAGCACTTGACTGTTTTGATTCCAACAGATATCCCAGCTCCTTGGCTTTCATGAGGCTGATTTCCGAATTTGTTCTTGGGTTAATGTAAGTTCCTTTCTCTGGGTTGATAATACCATCTTTAACTGCTTTATCAAAGGAGATTTCCTCTTGATTTCTGGGATCAATGACAGATGTTATGTCTTTAAGAGGAACTGCTGGTAAGGCTGATGAAACAGCACTTCTCAAGAGGTCATCATCTCGTCGCTTTGAAGTGATTTCTCCATGGATCAGGCCCTTCTCCAAAGCTGTAGAGATTGTCATACTTTCTCCAGTAAAGGGGTTGAAGTAGAGGCCTTTTCTGACATTCAAGATGCCGGAATCTACGGCTCTGTCATAGGAGACCATCTGCATAGTTGCAGGGTCAACAACGCTGGTGATGCTCATGGTAATTGTCTCTGAGCGGACATCTTCTATCAGAGTTGTCTCATGAGACTCCTGTTCATCAGTGATGTGTATGCTAGAGATCTCAGCCTTCTCTAACGGATCATCTGACTGTGCTTCTGGGGACTCTGCTAGGACCAGCCTTTTATCTATAGCATCACTCAGGGTCATTGATTCACCTGTTAGTGGATTCACATAGATGCCTTTGGTCTGGTTCAAAATACCCTCCTCTATAGCCTTGGACACTGAGATGAGGTTGCCAGTCCGCGGATCCACCACTGCGGTGACCGCAAGAGTGGTCAGCTTTGTTGTTGTGATCTTGTTGACATTTTTGTCCACATCAGTTTTGACTGAGGTCAGTTCGGCCAGGATGAATCCCTTCTCAATTGCGCTGTGTATATGCATGCTCTCTCCAGTGAGTGGATTGATATAAAGCCCCTCGGAGTCATCCAGAATTCCTTCAGCAATGGCATCAGCTATGCTCATGTGTTTCCCCGTGATGGGATGGACCACACCCTTCAGGATGTAAGACTTGGTTTCCCTTAGCAACGAATCTGGACCCACAGTCAAATCCCCGATATCTTCAACAAGGACATATCCTTTCTCAATAGCTTCACTAATCTTCATTGATTGCTGGTTTCCCAAGCCGTCAACAAAGTTATAAACTCCCTGTGTTTGGTTTAGAAATCCCTCAGCTAAAGCCTGGCTGACTGTCAGCCGCTTTCTTGTCACTGGATGCAGCACACCTACAATAGAGAATACTCTAGTATCCTTGATGGCAACTCCACCTTTCTGACTGCCATCCCCCTGCTCGGCTTTAATCAAACCCCTGTCTATGGCTTTGTTCAATGACATTTTCTCTCCTGTCATTGGGTTAGTGTACTGGCCATTCTCAATGCTTATCAATCCTCTTTTTACTGCATCTTCCACATCAAGTTCTCTGCCAGTTCTTGGGTCTAGCACTGACTTTAGTGTGATCTCTCTTGTTTCTGAGATGACTGAATGCATCACAAGAGGCTTGGCAAGTGTGGTGGTAGTGAATGCAAACTGAGAACCTGTTTTTGTCATGGAGCTTGATTCAAGTTTCTTGGACCCTGGTTCAATAGGAATGGTTCTTGAGGCACCACCTGAACTATCTGTCATAAATGTTTCTGATAGCAGTCGATTGTTCTGTGAGTCAATGTCACTCCTGAATGCCGACGGTGAGGGAGGTGTTGTCCTCTCTGATGACAGACTCAGTAAACCCTTATGAATGGCTTCATCAAGCGGCAGTTGATGACCAGTTTTTGGATCTCTGAAGATGCCAGTCTTCTCATTGAGGTATCCTTGTGCAATGGCTTGGGAAATGGTTAAGGCACCTCCTGCTGGCTGAGAAGATTCTACCTGAGTGAGAACAGTAGTTATTGTGGTCACAGAACTTAAAAGACTGAGAACCTTTGTAGCATCTGAAGCTGTAATTAAACCTTGAGATACAGCCTCTTGCATACTATGCTTTCCTCCAGTTCTGACATTCGCAAATGACCCAGTCTGTGCATCCACTATCCCTAATTTAAGGGCCTCAGCAATGGATACATGTCTGCCCTGTGCAGTTTTAATGCTGGTTGGTTTCTGCAAGTCTTTCATCAGCTTGTGGTCAACAAGCCCTGAGTTTGCAGCTTGCTGCAGGGTCATCTCTCGACCAGTTCTGCTGTCTACATATGCTCCCTGAGGTGTAATGATGCTTCTCTTTAACGCCTCAGACAAAGTGACCACTTCATTGATCCTGGGGTCTTTAACACCTCTACTGGAAAAACAGACTTCCTCACGGGCTAGTTTAACTAGTCCCAGCGTCAAAGCATCAAGAACAGGCACCTGAGATGTACCATCTGGGCTCACAAATAAACCTGAAGGAGTCATCAACTTGCTGGTGATAGCATCTTTTATGGACATGACTTCATCTGTTTGCGGATTTAGGATGCACTTTTTATTAACACTGATGACACCGGAAGCAAATGCTTCTGCTAAAGTTAAAATCTCTCCAGTGCTGTGATCAAAAACATGTCCATCTTCTGTCAGACTTCCCTGAGACACAACATCTGCGAGAGAAAGAGCTGTCCTCACCAAGCCTTTACTCAAAGCCACAGACAAGGGCAGTTTCTGACCGGTGGTCTTATCATTGTATGTGCCCTTAAATGGATCCACCACCCCTGCAGCAACTGCTTCTGTCAATGTCAGGTAGCTTCTACCCTTAGGATCTTTGATTTCGTGACAACTTGGATCAATGAACCCCTTCTCTACAGCCTCCATGATGTTCATGTCCACGCCAGACATTGGTTCGGTGACAGTTCCTGTTATTTCACTGCATAAGTTCTTCTCTAGAACCGTCCCCAGACTCAGCCCTGAATCCAATTTGAATGGCTCGGCATTTGTGAATACAGCACGTGTGCGTGTCACGGAGGTGACTTCCACTGTCTCCCCAATGAGGATCCGAGAGCAGGATTCAGAAATTATTCCTCTAGCAACAGCTTCAGACACTGACACCTGCTCTCCAGCTGTGATATCAGCAAAAGAGTTACTGACTGGATCATACAGTTTCTTCTGTATAGCATCCAAGAGGGATAACTCTTCTCCTGTTTGTGGATCCTGTGTCCCACAAGGGGAGGTCAGCTGCTTCAGAACTACTTCATCAATGAATCCCTTTTTGGCTGCTTGTGCCAGTGGTACTTTCTGGCCTGTTGAAGGATCAGTAAATGATTTTGTCTTAGTATCCAAAAGCCCAATCCGCAAGGCTTCCACAAGAGTAACTTTCCTTGTTGTCAATGGGTTAAAAATGGCAGCGACATGCAAAACCTGCCCTCTAGGTGTTATCTCCTCTTCCTTGATTGTAATCACAATTTGTTCACGATGCATGATCTGCTCTTTTCTTCCTGGCAGCTTGGAATCTGCCTTGGGCAGAATGGACACAGGTGTGGAGGAATTTTCCATTGCCTTCAGTGTCTCAGCCAAATCAATGGGAGCTGATGCAGCTCTGTCTACTGCAGAATCCTCCTCTTGTGACTTGGACTGGAGCTTAATGACCTTTGTAACTTCAGCAAATTCTGAATTTAAGGAAGACTCTGGGCGCAGCTGTAGGGTGGTCTTGAACAGCTGTTCTGGTGTGGCACCGTAGCTGGCTTGGGACGGAGTTGGGCCCTCAAATTGTTGAGTAAAGTATTCTCTCATGTCTGAGTCCACCAACATGGAAGACCGTTTGGCCAGCTCTGCACGGAATGTACGCAACAATGGCATTTCCTCATCAATCACCATCTGGAACTGAAATCAGGGAAGAATAGGTTTACTTATTCATCAAAGAAACAAACAACCGGCTGTAAACAAATTATGAAAATATTCACCAGAAAATTTCTAGTGGTTCATCCCATTCTCAACTTTTGTCTTGTTCCAAAAATTGAGTTTTTTTTAATGCACATCTGCTTTTCATGTCTTGCTTATTTAAATGCAGACTGTTGGTTCCTCACCTCTCAGGAACATTGACTGTTACTGCTGTAAACACCCCTATTAAGTTGTCTTCTACGACATACTTGTTGGGGGGGGGGGGGGCAGTTGGTCTATACACCTCCACCAAAATGGTGCCCCGGAACACACCCGGGTCCTGAAGGGATAAATGAATAAATGACATTAACATCCTCGATAAGACATAAAAAAAGAAAAAAACTTCTTTTAAAGAATTGAAAAGTAGTAAATCTCCTGCAACATGGACATACTTCATTGTTTCTAATGTGATGATTAGCACCATATATAAATACACAAATTCATAAAAATGAAAATAGTAGTCAAGGAGGCTTTTCGTGCCAGTGGTATATTGGGCATTTGCTGCTAGACTAATATTTGTGTGGATCCATCAGCACTCGTGGGATGATGTGGCCTACATCATACCGGCCACCTTTACTTCCCAGGACTTGGGACTTTTTCCTGGCACCCATTTCAGGCCGAGATTTACAATTTATGGTGAGACTTCAAACCCACCAGTGACTGTCAATTTTGGCAAAAATGTTTTTTATTTTTTCATGTTCAAGCTTTCGTTATCATGCCAGTAATCAAAACTGTCACCCCCAAATGTCGAAAACGCTTCACTGCAGAAACAAGTGTACTGAGACACATGACTAACTAGGCACCCCCAAAAGCAGTGTCTTCATTAGGTATGTCTACTGTACAGCCGGAATCCACAATTGTTGAATACAGACATAATCCGTCTAAAAGGATTGAAATGGCACCATAGGTTACAGAAATTTATATTAACCAAGCACAGGTCAAACAAAAAACATAACGATTATTAACACATAGGACAGTAATGCTGTGTCTAGCACAGGTCAAACAACAAACATAACAACAATTACTAACACATAGGACAGTGATGCTGTGTCTGGCACAGGTCATCAAACAACAAACATAACAACAATTACTAACACATAGGACAGTGATGCTGTGTCTGGCACAGGTCATCAAACAACAAACATAACAACAATTACTAACACATAGGACAGTGATGCTGTGTCTGGCACAGGTCATCAAACAACAAACATAACAACAAATACTAACACATAGGACAGTGATGCTGTGTCTGGCACAGGTCATCGAACAACAAACATAACAACAATTACTAACACATAGGACAGTGATGCTGTGTCTGGCACAGGTCATCAAACAACAAACATAACAACAATTACTAACACATAGGACAGTGATGCTGTGTCTGGCACAGGTCATCAAACAACAAACATAACAACAATTACTAACACATAGGACAGTGATGCTGTGTCTGGCACAGGTCATCAAACAACAAACATAACAACAATTACTAACACATAGGACAGTGATGCTGTGTCTGGCACAGGTCATCGAACAACAAACATAACAACAATTACTAACACATAGGACAGTGATGCTGTGTCTGGCACAGGTCATCAAACAACAAACATAACAACAATTACTAACACATAGGACAGTGATGATGTGTCTGGCACAGGTCATCAAACAACAAACATAACAACAATTACTAACACATAGGACAGTGATGCTGTGTCTGGCACAGGTCATCAAACAACAAACATAACAACAATTACTAACACATAGGACAGTGATGCTGTGTCTGGCACAGGTCATCAAACAACAAACATAACAACAATTACTAACACATAGGACAGTAATGCTGTGTCTAGACTACAAGGAACACTTAAAAAAGAAAAAAAAGAGACTGGTTGGTTCCATTGTGTTACACATAACACACAGACATAAACAGATGGGGAAGTAAAGGTGAAGAAGAAAGAAACAATTATTTACCTGCATTTCCCCATGGGCTGACAGTATGCTAGTGATCTGCTTCAAGCGGATATTCGCCCAGTCGACCATTTCTATATACAACTTGTTTAAGTGATCTAGTTCATCCCTGACCACATCTGAGCCATCCTGGTGCTTCAGTTTCTTGGAGTCTGGGACCTCAGACGATCTGTCAGTCTCTGCAACACTGTCTTTGAACTGTTTTAATCGCTTGTCGGCAATCTGACAAGAGAATTTTTTTTAAACAAAATATTAGACTTTTTATCACAAAACAATTTTTTTTTAAAAGTAGATGTGTCTGTTTATTATGGACACCTAATAATTCTTATTATTCTTTTGCTTTTACTTGTAACTCAGGAAACACACCATGTGTTTGTTGATTTTTACTGTGTGGGTTACTTTTCTTAACTTCTGATGCCCTATCCAGTATTGACTCAGCTCAGTGTCTACATTGTTTACATTAAAATGTTCTATCTAATACTTTTGTATTTTTGTTTTTTCACATGGAAACATCGGAGTGGGTTTGAGATGCAGTCCTGGGAAGTAAAGGTGGTTGGTGTGACGCTGACCCCACCATCCACCAAGTGCTGATAGGTCTATAAAATATAGGTCTAGCCCTATATGCATAATATGCCTGAAAGCAGAGAAAAGGGACCTTTTACTTACATCGAAACATCTATTAGTCAATGTAATAACTTCTATTATATAAACAGATAAAGTAACATGTGTCTGGGACTGAAAAAGTTAAAAGGGCATTTGGCACACCGTGTTGTGCTTAACAGCTAGGTTGCAATATGTGCACCTTTCAGACTCATACATCAAATTCCAGCTAATCTTTTGTTAGCTGCCTTGTATGGTATGTTTGATAAGGAGCAACGGGTGCTCCCCCCCCCCCCCTTTTTTTTTCCTCCAAAAGGCAGCAGAACCCACATGGGGAAATCATAGTACACAAATGAAACAATCACCAACAATATGTGATATCACATTGTTCACCACAACTTTTCCCAGCAGTTTGCCACCCACATTTTGCGAGGTAATGATTCTATAACTGCTGATTTTTTAGGGATCCCTCCCTGGTTTTGGAAGTGGTCTAAGATAACTATGTAACCAGTCATCTGGTACATTTGACATTTGGATAACATCATTAAAGTCCCCCAGAACTCGTAGTATTTCTTCATTATTTAACTATTTGATATGGCCATAGTGTACACCATCTTGCCCCTGAGCATTGTTTCAGCTGCCTCGCAATGCCACCAGTATGTCGATTTAAGCCACCTAAGTCTTCACATACGTTGTTTATGACAGTGCTATGCCGGAGATTCTCTAGTGTACTGCCTCTCGGTCTCATCGTCTTTACACGTTTGGACTAAATACTGGCTTAAAAAACTCTTGCCCATCCTCCTTGTCACTTGTTAATATTCTACCCCCTGAATTCTGAATGTTTAGCATTTGAATGATACAATTTCTATTTATTTGTCGGTGCACATTCCAAAATGTATGTAGTGTTTTCCTCTCCACTACGCCTGTCACTAAATCTTTCCAAATGTTTTCCTTTTCCTCTTTGGCACAGATTTTAAATGTGTTACTCTGGATTTGTTAATCTCAATGTTTTCGCTCCATGTCTTCAACATTTGCAGGTGACTAAATAGGGCTTTTCTTTCAAAGCCAAGAGTTCATTTCTCCTATGGGCAAGGAACCAAGTCTACATGCAAATTATTAATTTTCCTTTCTTTTCTTTCCTTATTTTTGTTGTTGTTGCAATATTTATTTTATTAATTTATGTTGACAGAAATTGTGTCCATTAGTAAACAAATTAACTGTTAACGACTGCCTACTGCGCATGAACAAACACCAACACAAATGTTCAATTTAGAAGTCTTGTCAAATTTGTTACTTTGAGAAAGATATCTATGAAAATATCTGTGTAAAATTAAAGTAATCCTTTGCCCACATAAAAAACACCCAGCTTTTAAAATGACTTCAAAATATAAAACAGACACACAGACGAAAACAAAACAAAAAATCATTAACCCTTCAGTCCCACAAGATCCTAGCAATGTCCGAGGGAGTTAAATTTGGTAGGACTAAACTCGATGTGCATATTACTTCCTGAGGGGCCAAATATACAACCCTTGGAGGATACAACTATGTTGTCAAGAGTTCTTCATAGTCCCTCACTAAACACAGGAAGTAAAAACTAGAGTGGGAGTCGCCGTGGCCGAGCGGCTAGACACTCACCGCGGATCGGAAGGTCGTAGATTCGCTCCCTGGCGGAGCCGGACTATTTTCAAAAATGACCTTGGCTCCCAGGTCGACGTAGGATTGAGTGGGTACCAGGTGCAGTTCCGGGAAGTAAAGGTGGCCGGCATGATGCTGACCACATCACCCATCTTGTGCCGATTGGTCTATAAAAATATAGGTCTAGCCCTATATGCCTAAAGGTGTAGAAAAGGGTCCTTTACTTACTTTTTTTTTTTTTTTTTTTTAAACTAAAGTAACATGTTGACTGAAATGTGTGAATAATACCCAAGCAGGCACAGTATGTTGTTTGGCTCAGAAAGAGTTACCAGAAGACAATATCATGGCAAGCACACATACAATGCATAAAGAACAACATCTTCAGTATCGGCATGAACGCAATACAGAACTGAAGCAAACTGACAGGGCAATTAACCAAACTAACATCAACAAGTTAACAACAACGAAAAGCCACTAGCAAGTTCTCATAACTTTTAATTCAACTTTTTCGATACTCATTACCTTTCCAGGTTAAAGGTTAAAGTCAAGAGCATTAACTTCATTGAATCAGTTTAAAACAAAAATCCCTATATGGCTAGGTCTATCTCCAGTTTCTGCATGTTTGCCCTCATTCAATACCCAGTTCTAACATGCGGTTCATGGTTTGTGACTTCTTTGTCTGAACTTTTCTGGTCAAAAGCGTGTTCAGTATGTGTGCTCCATCCATACTTCATTAAGTACTGACATGGCCAGTCTGTCAGTCAGCTCTATCATTTTCCTTCAGCCTGGAGTGTCCTAGTGTGCACAGCAAAGAGAGTTTCTTGAGGCGGGGCTTCAGAATGCCGTCAACCCATTCTAAACAGGGGCTTCAGGATGCCGTCAACCCATTCTAGACAGGGGCTTCAGGATGCCATCAACCCATTCTAGACAGGGGCTTCAGGATGCCGTCAACCCATTCTAGACAGGGGCTTCAGGATGCCGTCAACCCATTCTAGACAGGGGCTTCAGGATGCCGTCAACCCATTCTAGACAGGGGCTTCAGGATGCCATCAACCCATTCTAGACAGGGGCTTCAGGATGCCATCAACCCATTCTAAACAGGGGCTTCAGGATGCCGTCAACCCATTCTAGACAGGGGCTTCAGGATGCCGTCAACCCATTCTAGACAGGGGCTTCAGGATGCCATCAACCCATTCTAGACAGGGGCTTCAGGATGCCATCAACTCATTCTAGACTGGGGCTTCAGGATGCCGTCAACCCATTCTAGACAGAGTTTGCCAGTTTCAATCTGCTGGTCAGCACCAAACAGCTAAAAAAAAATTCAAAATGATTTGAATTTCACTTCAGTCGTTTGGTGATTTTAATTTCTGAATTTAGCTGATCGATGACTCTCCCAGGTTGACCCAGCTTTAAATGAATACTAGGTAAAGTCCTGGGAAGTAAAGGGAGCCAGCACAACAATCACTGAGTGCTAACTGTTTTAAAATTTAAAATCCTAGCATCATAAACCTAATAATATGCTGATGGTGGGGAAAAGGGCCCTATTCTTTACTTTACCACTTAGCTAATTATTCTTCTTGATCAGTTTTACCTCTGTTTATCTTTCCTTTGTCAGGATTACTAGTCATATTTTGCATTAGTTCATTATCAAAATGTGACAGAATGAAGTTTTTTTCAATCTATACCAAACTTGTAAACATTTTGAAATCAAAGTGATGTAGATAAAAGTTCATAATTTATTCTCATTGCAAGGGGAGAAAACTGCTGAAATATAATAACTAATTTGATAAAACAGTGGCTTGCCCTTGACATGTAAAACTGGTACTTACTTGCAAACATGCTTGGCATTCAATGCGACATCAATGGGCATCAAACACAATGCAACTGATCAAAAGAAGCGACTGAAGCTGTGCACAACAATATCAAAGGAGGCGTGCAAATGTAAAAACATGGTAAGGAAATCAAGGGTTACTAGCACAATACAAAGAAATAAGCAAATGAAGAAATCAAAATGCACATATTCGTAGCTAGAAAAATGCAAGAAACTCAAACAACACTTCTATTTAATTAAAGTAATAAGCCAAGCAAATATCCAGCCACATGGTAAATTTTTTTTACAGCACACCCACATTTTGTTAGAACTGAAAATAAGATTAAATGTAAACCAATGTTGCAATTACAAAGTGAGAGAAAAAAGTATATGTACATTATAAATTAATGTGAGTGGGTGGGAAAAGAAACACCAAAAACGTTTCAATATTTTCTTTAAGAAACATACAGTGTGGACATAGACAAAACATGTAATTAATTTCAGGTACTATCCAAAAATAAAAATAAAAATTAAAAAACATTTTAAAAACCCAACAAATTTACAAAACACAATTGTGATTTGTTGCTTTCAATCTCAGTTTAAGTAATAAACAAAAGATAAACTGCACTGTGTAATTAAAACAAAGTATAACATCAAAGACTACAAGCAGACTAAACAAAAACTGCTGAATCAGAACAACATAAGTTTCATTTAAAAAAAAATTAAAAAAAAAAGCAAACATAACATTCTTTAGCAAGTTCCAGCCAAACTGACTACAAATGTACATCTGATGCTGTACAAGAATCTGTCAGTATTTGCTGACTGATAAAAAAAAATAAGTTCTTTTATCCCGATTGAAAACAAGCGCAGTTAATTCAACAATCGAAAATAACATTCAAAAGACAGCTTTAAATGTCTTTGTAATGACCACTACTGCCTCAAAAAAAAAAAAAGAAAATTTCTACTACCACTTACAACCCACATTTGTAAACTAACAGTAACTATGGAGAATATTACAAAGCACTAAATTTGTTTCTAAGCAAACAAAACATTAATTTCTAAGAAAACAAAACATTAATTTCTAAGAAAACAAAACAATTTCTAAGAAAACAAAACATTAATTTCTAAGAAAACAAAACAATTTCTAAGAAAACAAAACAATTTCTAAGAAAACAAAACAATTTCTAAGAAAACAAAACAATTTCTAAGAAAACAAAATTTCTAAGAAAACAAAACATTAATTTCTAAGACAAAAAAAAACAAACATTCTAAGCTAACATAAATATTTTACTTCTTTACAAACAAGAAATTGTTTTATTTAAAAAAATATATATTAAACCTAAACAAAAAAAAATATATTAAACTTCTAGCAAATAAGATGTTTTTACTTAAGCAAAAAAAAAAAAAAAAAAAAGGCCTCTCTAATTAGATGAAATATAATCTTTCTAAGCAAATTAAAAAATTCTAACATAATTTAAAAACAGATTGTTTTCCCGGTAGAAGAAAATACAATGTCTAAACTCGCCTGTCATTCAGGCAATCATCTGGATACAAGAGGACCTCACTGGCATGTTTACAATCTAGAATAATTAGCTTTATCTTTGTGCTTTACAAACATTAAAGTTCAAAATAATTATGGTATCCTTATGCATAGATCATCTTTTAGTGTCTCAGTGTATGACAGTCTTCTCCCATCTCTCTCTCTCTCTCTCACTCTCTGCATATCTTCCTCCTCCTTTCTCACAGAGACTCGCTGATTAACTGTCTTCTTTGACTAATTGCAAAAGTTCCTTTGCTACATTCCCTCAGATGTATTTTTTGCATTAAATAAATCAGACATACACAAGTAACATGCAGGACTACCACCTTATTAACGCTTTCACCCCAGTCAAGGAAATGGGTCATGGCCGTGAAAAATACATTTTAAAAAATGACATTTATAGGGAGTTGGCCCCAACTACAAGTGTCAGTTTTTGCAGCAACCCAGGGCGACAGAGTTAAACAGCTCTCAAAATTTCAAATCTGGCATGCCACAGGCAAAACAAACTGGCAGTAAAAATAAAACACAGAGAATGATGCAGTAACCATGCCACAACGAGTAATCTACACAAAAACAACATCAAGCATGTCACAACAGAAAAGGTATAACATCAAGATAAAACAGCCAACCATAAATGCACTGCAATTTCTTTATGCAGTGTTTCAAAAACTATTTTTTTTAGTTGGTGCACATTTTTTTCAATTAACATTTTTCCACGACACCCTAACCTAAGTAAATGTATGACTAACGTACTAAGATATTTAAAAAAATAAAACGTGTTATCTTCGAATATTTTGCTGCACCCCCGTGAAGAGGTCACGGCTCCTCGGTGCACCGCGGTGCACAGTTTGAGAATATACATGTGGCCTTGAATTTGTAGATGCCATTTCTACTCTTCTTCTTCTTAGCATCCACCAGCCTCAAACCTGGTGGCAAGTCTTGGTGGTTCATCCACTTCTGCACCAACGGTCTTGTTCCAAAACTTGTGCTTTGCATGCACATCCGTTTTACAGATCTGGCTTATTTGTAAGCAGGCTGTCAATTATTCTATACTGAGGCAGATACACTCCAACTTCCAAGGAAACACCCCTAATTAGTCACCTGTTAAATCATGCTTGGTAGGGGGAGTAAGTGCTTTCTCTACACCCCCCTACCCCCCAACAAAAATTTGGCTCTGGAACCAACACAGGAGAAATTTCTACTAACAATCTAAGACTAACAATTAACATCAAGCTGTTCAGTTATTTTTGCCACTGATCACATCTCCCTTCATGCTAGCCCTACTTTACCAATCTGTTTCTGTATGGGATTGACCAATGTGCAGTCATACTGATTGTAATAAATAACAAAAGTCTATCTAAATGTAACATTTTTTCTTTTTAATTTTCCTGTGGCTATATTTTTAACACTAAATGTAACATTTTTTCTTTTTAATTTTCCTGTGGCTAGATTTTTAACAAGACCTGACTTGACACTAGGATGCCAAAATGGTGGTAGTTCTGAAGCTTTAGTCTGGGAGAAAATACACGTTACAGTTCCACTATATTTAAGAGGACGAAAAGAGAAATAAATAAAAAGGAACCAAATAAAAAGGAACCAAATAAAAAGGAACAAAAAAATGTGTTTACAAAAATCAAGCTGTGCCTACATTGCTATGTGGTTGGGAAGGATAAGAAAAGAACAGAAGAATGACATAATTCAACCTACCTTAGCTTCACGGATGAATTGGCCTCCATGCCGGTTGACTGACTCTAATTGATGTCTTCTGTCCCCAAGGGAGTTGTAGATCGCCTGGAGTGGAGACAAGGAACTAAATTTATTTACTGTGTACAGAATGGAGAGATGTAGTCAGTTATCCTCCATACCAGCATTTAGACTGACTAACTCAATGATGGTGATGCACAGATTGGAGAGATGTAGTCAGATAACCTCTTTGCCAGCATTTAAACTAACTAACTCAATGACGGTGATGCACAGATTGGAGAGATGTAGTCAGATAACCTCTATACCAGCATTTAGACTAACTCAATGATGGTGATGGACAGATTGGAGAGATGTAGTCAGATAACCTCTATGCCAGCATTTAGACTAACTAACTCAATGATGGTGATGCACAGATTGGAGAGATGTAGTCAGATAACCTCTTTGCCAGCATTTAAACTAACTCAGTGATGGTGATGCACAGATTGGAGAGATTTAGTCAGATAACCTCTTTGCCAGCATTTAGACTGACTCAATGGCAGTGATGCACAGATTGGAGAGATGTAGTCAGATAACCTCTATACCAGCATTAAGACTGACTCAATGACGGTGATGCACAGATTGGAGAGATGTAGTCAGATAACCTCTTTGCCAGCATTTAGACTGACTCAATGATGGTGATGGACAGATTGGAGAGATGTAGTCAGATAACCTCTTTGCCAGCATTTAGACTGACTCAATGATGGTGATGCACAGATTGGAGAGATGTAGTCAGATAACCTCTTTGCCAGCATTTAGACTGACTCAATGATGGTGATGCACAGATTGGAGAGATGTAGTCAGATAACCTCTTTGCCAGCATTTAGACTGACTCAATGAAGGTGATGCACAGATTGGAGAGATGTAGTCAGATAACCTCTTTGCCAGCATTAAGACTGACTCAATGACGGTGATGCACAGATTGGAGAGATGTAGTCAGATAACCTCTTTGCCAGCATTTAGACTGACTCAATGATGGTGATGCACAGATTGGAGAGATGTAGTCAGATAACCTCTTTGCCAGCATTTAGACTGACTCAATGATGGTGATGGACAGATTTGAGAGATGTAGTCAGATAACCTTTATGCCAGCATTTAGACTGACTCAATGACGGTGATGCACAGATTGGAGAGATGTAGTCAGATAACCTCTATGCCAGCATTTAGACTGACTCAATGACGGTGATGCACAGATTGGAGAGATGTAGTCAGATAACCTCTATACCAGCATTTAGACTGACTCAATGATGGTGATTTAAGCACTAACTCAATGATAATGGTAAATGTAGAGTGTAACGTTGAGCACTAACTCAATGATTATGATGGGAAATGAAGAGTGTAACGTTGAGCACTAACTCGATGATGATGATGGGAAATGAAGAGTGTAACATTGAGCACTAACTCGATGATGATGGGAAATGTAGAATGTAACGTTGAGCACTAACTCGACGATGATGATGGGAAATGTAGAGTGTAACGTTGAGCACTAACTCGACGATGATGATGGGAAATGAAGAGTGTAACGTTGAGCACTAACTCGACGATGATGATGGGAAATGAAGAGTGTAACGTTGAGCACTAACTCGACGATGATGATGGGAAATGAAGAGTGTAACGTTGAGCACTAACTCGATGATGATGGGAAATGTAGAATGTAACATTGAGCACTAACTCGATGATGATGATGGGAAATGAAGAGTGTAACGTTGAGCACTAACTCGATGATGATGATGGGAAATGAAGAATGTAACGTTGAGCACTAACTCGATGATGATGATGGGAAATGAAGAGTGTAACGTTGAGCACTAACTCGATGATGATGATGGGGAGTGTAGAGAAAATCTCAGCATGACTTTGGACTCACTAAAACAATGATGACGATAACAGAAACCATGAAAGTTATGTAGAGACTTTTGAACAAACACTTAAAACTTCAGTTAAAGAACTCGAGAACTGCAGGGAAAACCCTGTATACAGACAATGACAATAAAATCTGTATGTAGCCGAGTCTTGTCGGCACTAATAGTTGAAAATCAAGATGATACTTACCATAGTTGGTTGCAACTGACGCTTGGCATCTGTGACATCCTCTGTGAGAGGCGGCTGTGAGGATATCCTCTTCTGCATCTGAGAGGCCCAGGTCTGTTCTGAGTGCAAGCCATTGTGGTAGAGGGTCAGGAGGTTCTGGCAGGAGCCAACACTTCGCATTCTGAAACAACAGATCCAAGTGTTGTGAGTTCATTACAAAATGTAAGGAGCTTTGGATGTGCACTGTCTGATTTCTGAAAGAAATATGTTTGGTGGTAGAAGATGCAGGCAGAAGAAAGGAGAAAAAGCAATTTTAAAAAAATTAAATAAAAAGATGAGACAAGTGAAACAAGAAGAAGGATTAGTAGTAGAAGGAGGTAAATCAAGTGATATAAATAAGCAGCAGTAGCTGCAGAAGTAGTAGTAGAAGAAAAACAAGAAAACAAGACAAAGGATTATATATTATAGAGTTGGCAGTAGTCGTACATGTAGCCAGTGAGTTGAAAAAAAAGACCCATTTTTACGCCTTTAGGCACATTGGGCATAAGGGGAGAGCACTCATATTTTTTACTGACTAATCGGCACTAGGTGGGTGGACTTGTGACACCCTATAAAAATCCACACAGCAAGCAGTGGGTTTCGATCGTGGTGCGTTTGAATAACGAGTCTGACTCGCAACACCTAAGCAACAGACACCACCTACAGTTAGTGAGAGCTCATAATAATTTAGTCAGTCTATCTTGAGATGTGCACAAAAATAACACAGACAGTTAATGCCTGTGTCCTATATAAAATCATGTAGTCAACACTTTGGAGAACTGCATCAGTGACTTGACAGCCCTCATAACAGTTCCCTTTCTACTCAGATGTATAAACCCCACAGACAGTGTACAGTGGTTTGGAGAACTGCATCAGTGACTTGACAGCCCTCATAACAGTTCCCTTTCTACTCAGATGTATAAACCCCACAGACAGCATACAGTGGTTTGGAGAACTGCATCAGTGACTTGACAGCCCTCATAACAGTTCCCTTTCTACTCAGATGTATAAACCCCACAGACAGTGTACAGTGGTTTGGAGAACTGCATCAGTGACTTGACAGCCCTCATAACAGTTCCCTTTCTACTCAGATGTATAAACCCCACAGACAGCATACAGTGGTTTGGAGAACTGCATCAGTGACTTGACAGCCCTCATAACAGTTCCCTTTCTACTCAGATGTATAAACCCCACAGACAGCATACAGTGGTTTGGAGAACTGCATCAGTGACTTGACAGCCCTCATAACAGTTCCCTTTCTACTCAGATGTATAAACCCCACAAACAGCGTACAGTGGTTTGGAGAACTGCATCAGTGACTTGACAGCCCTCATAACAGTTCCCTTTCTACTCAGATGTATAAACACCACAGACAGCATACAGTGGTTTGGAGAACTGCATCAGTGACTTGACAGCCCTCATAATAGTTCCCTTTCTACTATGGGATGTATAAGCCCACAGACAGCGTACAGTGGATTGGAGAACTGCATCAGTGACTTGACAGCCCTCATAACAGTTCCCTTTCTACTATGGGATGTATAAGCCCCACAGACAACGTACAGTGGTTTGGAGAACTGCATCAGTGACTTGACAGCCCTCATAACAGTTCCCTTTCTACTATGTGATGTATAAACCCCACAGACAATGTACAGTGGTTTGGAGAACTGCATCAGTGACTTGGCAGCCCTCATAACAGTTCCCTTTCTACTATGAGATGTATAAGCACCACAGACAACGTACAGTGGTTTGGAGAACTGCATCAGTGACTTGACAGCCTTCATAACAGTTCCCTTTCTACTATGGGATGTATAAACCCCACAGACAGTGTACAGTGGTTTGGAGAACTATCAGTGACTTGAAGCCCTCATAACAGTTCCCTTTCTACTATGGGATGTATAAGCCCACAGACAGCATACAGTGGTTTGGAGAACTGCATCAGTGACTTGAAGCCCTCATAACAGTTCCCTTTCTACTATGGGATGTATAAACCCCACAAACAGCGTACAGTGGTTTGGAGAACTGCATCAGTGACTTGAAGCCCTCATAACAGTTCCCTTTCTACTATGGGATGTATAAACCCCACAAACAGCGTACAGTGGTTTGGAGAACTGCATCAGTGACTTGACAGCCCTCATAACAGTTCCCTTTCTACTATGGGATGTATAAACCCCACAGACAGTGTACAGTGGTTTCTCCTGTGCCTGCTCAAATCTGGTCCTCTAGGTCTAATGGATACAGCCAACAAGAAAAATAATTAATTATCCTGGATATCTTCACCAGTTTTTCATGCTTGCAGAACTGAGAGATGTTGAATTAAGAATCGACATGATAGCATTTGGGAAACCCCCATAAGCGCTCCGTCCCCCCATCAGCAGCAAGCAAAGAATTAAAATGCTGATGGTACCAGTAACTGATTATATATCCATCTGGCCTTTTCCCTGAGGACTGAGCGTCGACCAGATCCCCTGGTAACTCCTCGCAGCTCCATTCTCCTCAGACCGTAATGATCTATCTGTGCCTCGGCACTGTTCACACAACATCCAGCCTATCTGCCTACTCATTTCCCAACATTACAACATGACCTGGAGAAGGACTGTGACAAAATGATGTATGGCCCTCTGGCAGATTTGATCTTTTCACTAAACTTCGAGTAATAAGCAATGAAAATCCTGAAACCCAAGAATGCTTTTCAATTAATAATTTATTTTAGTCCCACAAAGCTGCTACTTTAACCATTTCTATCTAAAAAAGTGTGTACTTTGAAGCAACAATTTTTTTCGTCTTTGTAATTAAAAAAAAAAAGATTAAACACAAAAGAGGGTTACAGTAAAAACAAAAGTAGAATGATTTAACAAAATCACAAGAATGGAACAAAAGAGGCCAACATATCTGTATCTATACAGTGTAACCGCTGAATGTACTTTGTGTTCTTTGCCACTAAAAAAAGTGTTGACTGACCTTTCAACGACCTGGATACAAATTTGGTCCCAGCGTTTGACCAGGTCATCGACCTCCTTCTCAACAGAGTCCACATCATGGTGCTTTGTGGTGCCTGGTCGGCTGCGCTCCACTAAAGTGCGCAGTGACTCCACATCCTCCTTCAGCTGTTGGAGTTTCGGCTGGTGCTGTTGAAGTGTTTCTTGGAAGCCCTGGTGAGTCAACAATAAACACAACAACTGTAATTTGTAATGTTATCAAATTTTAGTGTACCTGTCTGTGAGTGCGAGTAAGTGAGTAAGTGAGTGAGTGAGAGAGAGAGAGAGAGAGAGAGAGAGAGAGAGAGAGAGAGAGAGAGAGAGAGAGAGAGAGAGAGAGAGAGAGAGAGAGAGAGAGAGAGAGAGAGAGAGAGAGAGAGAGAGAGAGAGAGAGAGAGAGAGAGAGAGAGAAAGTTAACAAGAGCATGAGGGAGGGAGTATGCAAGAGCAGGTATGAACCTGAGTGAGCACATCTACAAACACCAATTGAAATGTTTAGTCTCGTTCCCCCCCCCCCAACCTCCTCTCTGTGTGTGTGTGTCTCTCTCTCTCTCTCTCTCGCTAGTCACGGTCAAATTCCACAGCAATAAAAGCAATCAAATTTCTCCATTCCTGTGCTAGTAACAACATAACATAACATGTTCATCACAGACTGATGAGACAAGTGAGAGAGTCAGTAGTCCCAATAAAGCCAGATAGACGCACATGTAATAATGCATAAGGCAGCCACCAGAGTTTTAATACCAACTGTCTGCCACTTAAGCAGTAATCTAGTAAAGAGTCTCCTTGGCTTATGATTGAGTTTTGTTCAAATTGACAAATTATATTTTTCCATTCTATTTTCATTCAAACGGGTTAACAATTTTTTTTAAATAAAACAAAAAAAATTTCATTTATGCACGTATAGCTAATTGTACATAATGTGAAAAATACATAATCTGTATTCTACTGCAACAGTTCAAGAAACTTTTTTACCCTGTCAATATAGTTATCGTTCCTTTTTTGAACCATTTATTTATTATTTGGGTCTCAGTGTGAATGGTAGTAGGTCACACAAGTTGTAGGTCAAGGAGAAAGTGCATATGTGAAGACTAACACTTCCCCCTTCCTGGAGAGACATCTGCCATAAGTCACTTGCATGTATCTACAAGATTACCAAGGAAGACAACAACAAAAAAGAGAAATCAGCTGAAAACTCACCACAAGTTCATTCTTCAGTGTCTTCAACTCCGACAGGTCAGAGGTCATGTTGTCGTGAGATGCCAGTGATGATTCAAAATCTGCCACCAGCTGCTTCACGTCATTTAACCCTGAGATGACGACCTCACATCCTTTCAACCTGCAATTTTATCCACAAAACTAAGACTATATGACTTCATTAAACAAATTTTTTTTATCCATGTATAAGGATCAGGAAACGATTTCTTCTTCATCTATATGCCCGATACGCCTAAAAGGCGTGAAAAGGGATCTTTACTTTAACTTTACTACTCCGACCACCCTTCAACTCTTTTGTGTCCCAGGGGTTTAGCACCTGAGGCCCAAGGTGAGGTAATGCAATTTTGAAATGTCACAAGTGTAATGCATTATAACAGACCATACAAATTCAACTGCCATGCAACATCTACATACTATACTATACTATACTATACTATACTATACTATACTATACTATACTATACTATACCCAGAGATAGTAGAGGAATAATATTACAATATTGCCACAAAAAATAAATTGTGTTACTAGTCTTCTTCTTCTGCCTTTCTATCCCCCAATGGAGCATAGGCCCTCAACCAACTCACGCCAAGTCGTTCTATCCTTCGCCATTGCATGGAGCTCTCCCCATGTCCTCCCCATCTTTCTAACCTCATTCTCCAGCTCTCTTCTCCTTGTGTTTTTTGGCCTTCCTTTATTCCTATGCCCCTGTGGGTTCCAATGCAAAGACATTCTAGTAATGCTGTTCTCCTGTTTTCTCAGTGTGTGCCCTATCCAACGCTGTTACTAGTTAATTTATTTAATTATTAGTAAATAAACAGATGTTCTGAAATAATAAGGCAATCACACTAGACTTAACTGACACTGAAGAAGAATATCGCTTTTTTTCACGAAATTTATTCTCTTTGTACCAGCCGACTTTGTCATCGTTATACACTTTGCATGAGACATAAATATCAGAGCTATCCCTCATCAAAGTTTGACACTATCAAAGAGTGAAAAAAGTCACTCCGCAAAAAAAAAGTTTCTTTAGCTTCAGATAAATCTGATAAGCACGTGTTCTATTTAAATATGAGGCTTCCAAAGTCATAAATCTTGTTGGCATGCCTGAAGAAGTCATCACACAGACAGTGACTCAGTTATGGGGCCACGTTAGCACAGTCGATAACAGGCTCACTTTCAAATCCAGCTGTGACTCGCTGCAGCCCACGGTCGGTGTTCGAAACCGGGCGGTTCCTGGGGTTCACCCTATAAAAAATGGGTACCAGAGTTGACACACTGGGGTAAATGGAGGAACATCGCTGTAACTACAGAGTTACATGTGAACGGCGACACAGGCAGACTATTCTTATCAGCTGTCCGTACTGGTGGCAGAGCACTTATGGTTTATAACCGTGTGCAATGACGCTGGTTCACATCTCCCGACTTTTACCTTTACCAAACATGCTAGATTTTAATTAAGCTTTTAATGACGTTTCAGAATAAGCCTACTGGTCAACAAGTGTAACAACAAACACAAAGAACATGAAATAGCATTCAAATCTGCCGGTGTGCATTGTTACAGTGGCCGGTGATACAATTAAAAACGCGCTGACTGGCCACCTGGGTAGTCACCGACTAGTACGCGAAATGTTCCTTGGGATTCAAAGAGTTAAAGGGCAGCTGCCTTGCTGTGTTGTGGTTTACAGCCTGGCTGCATTTCTGCACCTTTCAGTCTAACAAATCTGATTTCAACAAATCATGAATCATTTGTGTTTTACCCACATATCTGTTACGAGGCAATTTTTCCCTTATCTCTCTTTATCTTTTATCATTCCCTGCCTCTCTCCCTAAGTGGGTTCTAGACTCCCATTGAGAGAGGGGGCGGCTCACCACAATCTTAACCTGCATGTTGTAAAAGGTAAGTACTAAAGGTATTTCTTTTGAAGTCTGAGTGCATCTGCCTTAGAGGCAAGGAACCAACAGGGTGCATACAAATAAGCCAGATCTATAAAACGAATGTGCATGCACAACTCAAGTTTTGGAACAAAGTCCACATTCCAGAAGTGGAAAACAAAAAGAACTTTCCTCCGGAGTTTACAGCCGGCAAGAGCCGAGAAGAAGAAGATTCTCAGTCTCTCTCTCTCTCGCTCGCAAGTTTTTGTTTTTTGGTATTGTTTCCATGAAATACAATCTATTCTTCTGTATTTTCATGCCTCCACAGGTTCAATCTGACATAAACACACAACTCAGTAAGCGAATATTCATTCCTTACCTATCAACATAAAGATGTGAAAGGCTTTTCATTTGTTCAGTTTTCTGTACCATGAGATTCAACTTAGACTCAATGTTAGAGCTGCGGGGGGACAACTCTTTCACTTCGGTCTGTAAACTCCTCATCTCACTTTCTTGCTTATCAAACTTCAATTGGAACTCCTATGACAGAAAAATAAAAATTATAGTATTTCCCACTTTTAAATTATCCAAAGGAAAAATAAAAATATGTTGAGTTAATTAACTGCAGTTTCAACTTCAAGGCAAATGGGTGATCCCCATAGCAGCTCCATTCCTGTGCTAGCATGTGCTAGCAACAACAACAACAACATAAACCATGTCTGCCCCTTGAGAAAACAACTAGAACATGCTGCAGTCTCAGCAAAGCCAACAGCATACACATACACTGAATGTATAAGGCAGTCGACAGAAATGACATTACAAACAGTCAATCACTAAAATTGTAATTCACTGTTAACGGAAATGGTAATTACAACAGATTGGCAGTTGCACATGCAATACTGCATAAGACGCTACCAGTTCTGTGGCAACAGGTCACTCAACATGTTCTGAATCAGTAGTTCACAAGACAAACCACAAAATCTTATGTTGTTATTGAACCCAATGTGTACACACTGTCTACTCTTGGCAGCCAACAAATTACCTTTGTGACATATTTCTTAATGTGAAAGAGTACTGGGCACCTACACGCTCAACCCCCTGCTGAGGTTACCAGCATCTATAGATCATGTGCATACATCCAGCCTTAACTGTAACTGAATACAAAATGAAAAGTTAGTTGCATATCCTTGTTTACAAAACATAGCAAATCAATCCTATCATCTGTTGGCTGTTTGCGGTTTTACTAGACATTTTTATGTTCGGTTGTTTGCCATTGTTTCCATGAACCAAGAGGTGAAGAAAAGATGCTGGTGTTGAATAGGACACACACTGAAAAAAATCTGAGAAAAAAATAACGTCTTTGGACTGGAAGACATAGTGGCATAGAAGTAAATAAAGGCAGATGATAAAACACATAAAGGGAGCTAGAGAGTCAAGTTAAAAAGATGGAGAACACAGGATGAGCTGCATGAAACAGATAAGATAGAATGACCTCCCATGAGCTGGCTGAGGATCTATGTTCCAACTGGGAGTAAATGAAAGAAAAAAGAAGAAGAAGTTTGCCATTGTCTTCTGAAGGATGGCACTCCACATCAGTCAAAATCAGAACAACTGGTTTGTGCTCAAATCGCCCGTTGCCAGAATCAAACTGGGTACTTTAAAGTTCTAAGCCCCATTACTAACTCCTAAAACACAGACACTAATGAAATGAAAGCAGAAACCAAAAAAAAAAAAAAAACAGCATCTTACTCTGTAGGATCGGAATGATTCTTGCACACCCAAGTTATTCTGGGGAAGTGGTCGATGAAGCAGAGCCGACAGCTGCTGATCTGTGAGACTCAGCTCCCTACTCAATGTCTCCACTTTCTGGAGAACAGCCTGAGCAGTGCTGATCCCACGGTGACTTTCTGAAGCAACACAACATTATCAGGTGAATGAACAAATAAACAAACTTTTATGTTCAAATGGTCACAAATTGGGCACGCAGTCCTCTCATATAATGGGCCTTTCCAAACACATATCTTTCATTCCATATCTACAGGCCATGCTATGTTCATGTATAATATGTTACGTTTCACTTTATTTTTTATTTATTTACTCCTCGTCTACCTTGGGATGTAGAAGTTTGCCAGAGAGATTGCCAGACATCTCTATCGGAAGTTTTATTTCTGGCTTTGTTCCAGTCCAATGCTCTGTCAGTCAGGGACTGTCGGATTTTGTCTTCCCAGTGGACCCTGGGTCACCCTGAAGGTCTGGTTCCCTGGTTCTTAGCCTCCCATTCCTGGCAAAGTGGCCGATTTTCTCCAACTCTACTCATGCATATAAAACCATTTTAACACTTTTACTATTCTTACTTTAATTAAATTTATATTTTAAAATGTTTATTCTACCTGTTATTATTATCATGTATGGATCGTTAGTATTTTTATTTGTGGCATTCGTAGACCAGGAGAAGGCAATTATTATGGAAAGTAATGGCAAGATATGGAGTAGGCGAACACCTCATCGAAGTGTGCAAAAGTTTATACAGGGATTGTAGAAGTGTAGTTAGAATAAATCAGGGAACATCTCCTCCATTCACAGTAACATCTGGAGTAAGACAGGGGTGTGTCTTATCACCACTGCTGTTTATCACCTACATCGACAGTATATGCAAGAATGCCAAGCTCATGACTGAAAATGTTAGTAAGATCAACGAATTACTCTTTGCAGATGACCAGGCCTTGATAGCAGATACAGCCATGAAATTACAACAACATCTAACATCCATGAATGAAGAATGTAAAACAAATAATATGAGAATCAACACTGAAAAGACAGAAGTAATGTCAATAGGAAAAAAAAAGACAGATCTAAACATAGCAATAGAGTGCAAAGACATTAAACAGGCATCTGAGTTTAAATATCTAGGAACTACATTTACTGAAGATGGGAAATTGGATAAAGAAATTAACATTAGATGCAGTAAAGCAAACCAAGTATTGTGACAGCTAGCCCCCCTCTTACAGCATAAGACAATCCCAATCAGCACAAAGAGACATCTAATTCAAAGCATATTTTTTCCAACTCTGTGCTACCAGTGCCAGACATGGTCACTCACAACAAACCATAAAAGAAAATTAGTAACCACGGAAATGAGATGTCTGAGAAGGGCTGTAGGAGTGACCATAAGAGATAAGATCAGGAATGAGATCATAAGAGAAAAAGTCGGCACAGAACCAATTCTGGATTACATATGAAGACAGCAAGTGAAATGGTTTGCCCACTTAGAGAGAATGCCTTGTGACACCATATCATACAAAGCATACATGGAAAGAGAAGGACGTAGAGCACGAGGTAGACCAAGAACAATATGGAAGGATAACAGAGGTGTTTGATCACGTACCTTTAGCTGCAGCTTTCTCACACAGGTCCTGGTAGATGCGCTCACACTCTTTGAGCTCCTCCGACAACTTGCGCATGTCCCTGTCTGAGGTGCCACACTCAGCAATCAGCTTGTGACCATCCTCCTTCAACGCCCGCCAGACTGCTTCTCTCTGTGCAGGATCCATGGCCAGAAACTGAAAACAGTCATACAATGGTGTCCAATTTTGTTTCTCTTAAAACAACAGTATATAATTAAACCAGTCAAATGAAAACACAAGTGGTTACACAGCAATGCACTTCAGGAAACCAGTTTGTACCCACCTGCATACATCATCATCATCATCAGCACAGCAGGTCCTTTGCAGAGCGTGGCTCTCAACACGGTCTGTCTGAAAAGAAACTTGATCTCTAGCCAGCTCTTCCGCCTCATGTACTTTCATACTCAAGGAGTCACTTATATCCTGTGCCCATCTTCGTGTTGGATCAAGCTGGTGTAGCAATTGTGAATGCCCTAATTATAACTTCTTTGAATGGGTATCTGGGATCTGCCCTGCCGAGCTGCCATCTAGACTCAGATGTTTTAATCTCAGGGTGATAAACCTTCAAGCATCAATCCAGAGCGGACAAATCGATCGATCGACTGAGCTTAGAGAATTCAGTTCAAACAATAATTAAATCCATCGTGTACAGTGACTACCCAAGCCTGTCTGATATTGGCTGAAGAGATTATTCGTGTGTTCTACTCTTTTCTGGCCACTTCTGCTTCTTTAGCATTCTGAGCCCTTGAGGTTCACTGCTGCAGATATCACCTGCCTCCACTCATCTCTCTGGTTGGCCTTCTCTTCTTCACTGGTGACACCAAATATTTGTAGATCTGTCTGGATATTATCTCTCATTATCTTCTTGGTCTGCCTCCTGGTCTACGACCATTCAGCTCCCTTGTGTATAGAGTTTTTACCTCTCTGTCAGCTGACATTCTTTCAACATGCCCCAACCATTTCAGTCTAATGCCCCCATGATGCCAATGATCAATGGTGATTTTATACAGATTATAAATTTTGTTGTTGCTTCTCACTCTCCATTCCCCAGTTTTCCCCTTTGATGGGTATAAAGATTCATCGTAAGATTCTGTTTTAGAAAATGTGTAATTAGGCTTTATCTCTTTTAGTTGTGCTCCAAGTTTCGGAGCCATAAAAACAACTGATCTTAACATTTTCTATATTTTGATTTTGGTGTTGCGAGATACAGACTATGACTTTAGCAGATGTTGGAGGACATGGTATACTATATTTCTAGATTGTATTCTAGATTTGTTCTGGCCACAATGACAATAAATCTAAATGTTTGCATTCTACTGTTGCTGCTTTCTCAACTAAAAGTCTTCGCTTTAATCAGACTCTCTAGAGGTGTTCAAGACTTCAGCTTGATTCACTGATGGAACCTCTCATATGTGAAAGTGTCAGCTTAACTATCTGCTCAATCATTGCCCATAACACCTGCAGATTACACTGCAAAGATAAGGTTATTTTATAAATAACAGTGCTGACATCATAGCACACCGGGCATATTCATAGACGCTCCATCTTCCGTCCCAACATGATTCTAACTGTCCCTATAGAACAATGATCATACACTTGTCATTCTATTGCACTCATATGTCCCTTCTAGCCAGATCTGCACCTAATTCCTAAATTCTTACACATGTCATTTCATCCAACCTCATGTCTTCTATCAGCACTCATTCATTAATGGTCGTCAGAATCTCTCCTTTGTCCCCTAACTCACTTTTGTAGCCAAACATCCGCTCTTTTATTCCCTCACACTCCTGCATTTTCTGGACAGTAAATCCACAAGAGTCCATACAATTCTGATGCTTGGCATCCACCCATGCCATATCTGTCCATTCTAAACCTCATTTTGTTACAATCATCAAAGCACAGGACAAAGTTAAAGACATCTTTTCAGACAGGAGGTGTTCTGGGTATGTTGTACAAGCTCCATATTTGTATAGATCAATTAGCGTAAAATGGGTGATAAGGTCAATATTAGCTGCCTTTACTTTCCAAAACATGTCCTGCTATTTTATGCTTCATTAGCCCTGTTGGGGGGGGGGGGGGGGGGGGAAATAACCGACCCACCACCCAAGGAAGTTAAGGAACCAATAGTCTGCTTACAAATAAGCCAGCTCTGTAAAATGAATGAGCACGCAAAACTCAGGTTCTGGAACAAAACTAAAGTCCAGAAGTGAATGAACAATGACAAATTTCGGTCTGAGTTTACAGCCAGTCAACAGGAAGAAGACGAAGATTTTAAAACAGCAGAGGTACAAAAAGTATAATAAAACAAGAGTGCATTCACAAACCTTTTTCAGATCCCAGCTTTTGATCTGTCTGATGGCAGCAAAGATGGCAGCCATGCGGACCTTTCTCTGCTGCGTCTTCCACTGGGATGCCAGCCTCTCATGGTGAAGCTTGAGTCTAAATAGATCCATCAGAGACAACAGTGGGCAGTTAGTAATCATGCAGATAACAGAACTAGCAACAGGGGAACAACTAGTGTTGGAGTACTGTCACTGCTAATCAATCATAATTATAAGACACCTAATAATGACTTTTGCAAAATACACCCTACCCCAAATTAAGCCCTAGTTAAGATCCTCGGCCAAATAAACTGTTTTGCTTGTCTAGTGAAACACATGACGGCCGCACTGAATTATAACGGGATAAATGTATACATAAACATAAAAAAAAATATTATTGACACTAATTTTTGAATAAATGTATAAATATGTACTTGAATAAATGTAGATTTTTGTACCACACCCAAAAAAAAATTTTTTTTTTTTTTAAATATCAGGCATCTCCTAAGAAAAAGCCATATGATGTCTTTTTGAGCAAAAATTGATGTAATCCCCAGTCTTATTTTCACGGAATGACAGTAAAATCACAAAGTACTGCTGCTTGTAATTGCAACTGCTGCTAATAGTTACCATTACTTGTACTATTACAATTATTGATATTACTAATAATACTTCTGCTAATACTACAGCTCCTGCTGCTATTGCCCCTACTATTACCAATGCTGCTGTTACTACTTTACCACTGATGCTATAACCACTACTATTACTACTACTGCTGTTACCACTAATACTGACTTTTGCTGCTGTTAATACTATTATTTCTCCTGTTACTAGTAAAACTACAGCTACTAATAATCATCAATATCCTCCTCTTGTGTTGTTAATCATCACATACGCTCAGAGTATATTCTTCCACTTAACTGTATCCTGTGCAAATGTTTCAATATCATGGATGGAGAATTCAATCCAGCCAGCACTGTTAACCTCTCTCATCTAAGGGGCTATTATTAATGCTCCTACAAAAACAACAGCAGATGCTGTTGCTACTACAGCTATAACAAAAATAGTAGCCAAATTATCATATTTTTTTTTAAAACTTCCTTACCACAACCAATTAACACAAATAGTTATCAGGATTGAAAACATTTTTTATTATTTAAATCTCATATATCTGAAAGTACAAATTATCCTAAAAACAAAATTGTTTATGGAATATTTTTGGTGCTTTATTAATATCCAACCCCAAACAGGGGAAATCTACAGGTCATGGGAGTGTCTAATATTTCAGGGGGTGGTAGATAAGCTGCATGCAGTCGTTGGGACCTAAGCTGCATGCATTCAGGGGATCTAGGCTCCACTCTCTCGTGGGATGTAGGTGAGTTGGGTTGGGGCCAGTTCTAGATGTTTTGGGGTCGTTAAAAGCATCAGAAAGCCGGGAAACCCAGTCTTACCACCCTCTAAAATATTGGACTGTTCTGTGACATCATTTGGGGTAAGATAAAGATAAAGAACCATATTTTTTTGCACAACACTATTATTATCCACAAAGACTGTGCGTGTTTGCTAAATCTGAACTTGACAACTTCACAGTTTACAGACTGAAGCCAAAGTTTTGACCTGACAAACACCACAAGTGAACTGAATAAAAGTTTACAAAGAATAGATGTTTGTCTCACCTGTTGGCCATATCTATGGCTTCTTGATTTGGGGGAGGAATCAACAAACACACAGATGGCACATCAACCTCCAGACCTGTCATTGTCTTTACCTGTGGACATATTCATTCAGTTTCTGCAAGGAATCTGTCATGATACAGCTTAGCCACACACACATTATGTTATATGTTATTTTATCACAATCAACATCACTTTACATACTCCATATCTCCTGTTTTTACCTCAAAGATGGTGTCCACATATTTTGGCAGGCTTTACTCTCACAACTACCAAAACCACCCTAGGCTTCTTTACAAAACAAACAAACCCAAGATTCTTTTCATACCAAACCATCCCAAGATTATTTACAAACTAAATCAACCCAAGATTCTGTAGCTGGATTAGAATCATTATCCAACAAACTAGTCCATTTAGTGTTGATGACATCAGTTCTATCCAAGCTTCTTCCCATTCGTATGACACAGGATTAATAAAACCAACTCTGACTTTCATCAAACAGGTAACTTTACTGTTGCACTGTATGTACTACAAGTTTGGTCAGCTCTCACAAATGAGAAGTGCACTAAATAAAGTTGCTATTAGAAAATGAATTCATAATTTTAATTAAAATGAACATGAGGAAGACAACGAGAATGAACAAATAAAGCATTTTATGTACAAAGGGCTGAGAATTGGGCTTGCAGACTCGTCTAATATTCTGCACTTCTGGCCTCACTCTTGTCATACATTATTTCACGCAAAAATAATTTTTTCGTTTTCTTCAAATTCGCCAGCTGTAATTTCTAGCAGAAGGTTCTGGTTGTTCGTCCACTTCTGGACTCTGATCTTGTCCCAGAACTTGAGTTTTGCATGTACATTCATTTTACAGATCTGGCTTATTTGTTTGCAAAATACCGCTCAGGCAGATGTATTCTGACATCAAAGGAAACACTTCAAATTAGTCGACCTTTATGACATGATGTTTCAGGCGGGGTGGATGGTGGTGAGTCTATTCCTTTACCCCCAAAACCCACATGGGGGATATACATATTTTAATATGTGATTTAGAGAGAGAGAACACATCAGTGACAACACTGAATAATTAGAAAGACTGATAAGCTGCTGAGTCAAGGAAAAGAAGAAAATAACTTAGAAACTCTCTCCACCCCCTCACCCCGGAGAAATCATGTGTAAAGGGGAAACATTGTCACCCCATACTTTTGGCAAGGCACATGAAGATGATAATGAAAAGGACTTTTCATCTGCTGTACTGACCTTCCACTTTGTCCTCTGGGAATTGCTGACCAGGAAGCATTCCTCTCCTCGCTGTAAAGACACATCCTGCTGGTGGCATGCACACAGTGTTCGAACCCTGATGGGGGCTGCGACTCTCTGGGAGCGGAGCTTCAGGGGGATGATATCTCGACTTTTAATGACCAGAGATGAAATCCGGCGGTCATATTCTCGAATCTGGTCTTGGAGATCCTGCCAGAGTGTGAGAGAGGACACGGTACAACAACTGAGTCTCTACCAAATCAACACAGGGTGTAATTTTATAAAGGAACAGAAACAGTGAGAACAGAATTAAAAAGAAGCAAACCTAGAGAAAGAAAAAGGAGGGGGGAAAGGGGGGGGGGTGTACTAGATACAGACAAATAACTGTTTTTTTTTTTTTTTTGGTAAATGTTTGCTGAAACATACAGCAATGATAGGACATATTTCGGAAACCCCCTTTGATACACAATAAAGCCTACAGTTGAAGGTTGTACTGGCCCGGCTCTCTAGCGTAGTTTTCTAAACCGGATTGCATGGAGACCAGGTGACGAACTCCTTGTGGTCCGGGTTCAATCCCAGGGGTAGGCAGAAAAGCCACATTTTCTCCCAGATTTACGGTATTTACAATGGAATCAAGGCCGAAAGGTTGCGATGTCCATAATACCGACCCTAAGGGTTAATAACTCATGGCTTCTGGATACTTGAACAAACAAACAAACGGAGGTTGTACTTATATGTTCAGGGTCTTCCAAGACTATAAAAAAGTGTTTTATAAACAGTCTAGGACCACAGTCAGGATAAAGTTCCAAGGAACCGCCATGAATCTCTAACCTTGGAGAAGGATTGGAGAACTCTTCAGCAGTCCCTGGGGATATGGAACTATAGTAATAGGTCATAAAGAGTGTCTCCACCACACACTTTTTAATAAATGAAAGCCCTTTATCGAGTCTCATAAGTCCTGAACATCAATAAATTGACTCAGTATATAGGCAGCCTGAAATTATCTGTATCCCATGTTTGCCACTTCAAGTCACTGAATTATGAGAAACTCTGAAGTTTCAAGAGCTCAGAAATAAAAAGAATTGTTGTCCTAAGGCAGCAGTCACATGAACGAACGAATGAATGAAAAAACAAACAAACGGGTTCAGAATTGGGCAAGCAGGCCCGTCTAACATTCTGCCCTTCGAGGTGTCCCTCCGTTTTTACATCATTTCATTCATACATCAAGTAATATTAAACATTACCAATAGCTCTAAAATATTCAATACAAGCACTGGAATGTGCACATTTATAACTATAGTAAACCGTAGTAGTTGTAACAAATCTAGGGAAAATGTTTGCTATTTCTAACATAATTTTTTTATCTTCTATGGGGGCATATAATCACTCAAATAATATTCGAACAGTTTCCGATTGTATGTATAGGGATTAGTGGTACTTTTGATTTGCTGTGGCAGACAGTTCCACAATTGAGCTGCAGAGTACGCCAGATCAAGTAGTAGAGGTACCATGTTATGTACTCATTGCCACTTTTCTAGACAGTAGTTGTATACTGTGTTATAGAGCAGCAGGAAAATCACAGCTAATTATAGCCAGGGTTGAAGTTTCTCTTCCTCGCAGCACAAAATCCAGGCAGTAATGCAGGAACCATGTATCGCTCATGCAGCATGATCCCTCACTTGGTCTGCCTTGTTTACTCCAAAGGAAAAGCAACATTGTCATGTTTGGAACAAAGCTACAAGACCAAAAGAGCACTGCTCTGTATGTCAGAGCTTCCCTCCTAGACCAGATGCTAACCAAGGCTATGAACCGGATCTGCCCGGCCATAATATTAAGTTGCCAGGTTGCATTTCTTCTCCCCAGAAAGGGGATGCTATATAAGATAAACATAAATAAAACCAGGGGGTAAGCCCCTAGATCCATTACTGACCTGCAGCTCTGCTAGCAAGACCTGTGCTTGGTCTATAGGAATGTTGTCTGAGCAGAAGCGATTCTGGAGAAGTTCTGAGTGGCGGGCCATCCAATGCTCACAGTGCTGGGCCTCCTCAAAAAACCTGTTGTGATCTGTGCAGTGTTTGATCTGTGCCTCCAGACACCAGCGCAGCTGGACAAGCCACGACCACTGAGACTGCAGGTTGGACATGTATGCCTGTTAGACAAACAGCAATTACATTTTGTCAGAAACATGACCAAGAATTCTGATCTGAAACACTTAAGACTGCACATGTATGCCTACTAGACAAACATGATTTGCATTTGTATCAGACATCTTATCTCACTTGCTGATCTGAAAAACTGTTTAACATTTTGAACTACTGTCTTTGTTTGTTTTAAAGATCTCACTATACTCAAGCTACCATCTGTTCTGAGACCTACTGACACTGAAATGATGTGACGGTGACCATGTCATGGTGTGACTGCTAAAGGATAAAGCTAAATTATGATGTCATCAAAACATAACTTTAAAAAAACAATTTAAAAAAAAACATTTTCACAACCCCTCTGTTTTTTTTTTTAGTCAATATAATCCCACTCGAGTGCTCCTAAATACAAAGAGAACCAATGCCCTTAACCCTTAACTTGACTGGCCAATACAGTAATGCAGATTTTGCAGCTTTGCATCTAGTGAGTCAGTTACCTCCACTGTGCGGGCTGAGGGATGCCTGTCCAAGATCATTGCACCACCCTTCTCTTGTACAGCATTAAACTGACTTTCTCGAGACTCCATCTGTCGAACCAGAGACTGAAACAAAAAAATGTTGCACGAGTGTCAATGACTACCTTAAATATGGAGGCAATATATAAAGAACTCAACAAAGAAAACTTACTTTCAATGATCACTTACTGTATTTAAAAAAATGGAAAAACCTCTTTCCATTATGTTTCTGATGGAGTACACAGCATCCTATCTATTCTCCATTTACTAATTCCTAACAAGTCTGATTTATTCTCAAGATTTATATGGCTGCATATTCCTTCTCATTTGAAAGTGCTTCTAGCTTCCCAATAATACATTTTCACTTACACTTTCATCCTCATAAAATTATCCCATCAATCCAACTGTCTCAAGAGCACTTTTCTGAGTCTGAAACAGAATTAATGTTCACCCCTGACTCCATGCAGCATATGTAACAATGCAACTTTCACTAGTGTTAAACAAAATGGTGGATTACTTGTCATCTGGTGATCGGATGACATTATTTGATTTATGGATGACATCTTTGTTTTAGCCATAATAAAATCAATTTCATTATTTAACTGTCAGACTGTATTACTGAGAGAGGGTGCTCTAATTTACTGAGAGAGGGTGTTCTGTATTACTAGAACATGGTTCTTTGTTTTACTGAGAGAGGGTGCTCTAATTTACTGAGAGAGGGTGTTCTGTATTACTAGAACATGGTTCTTTGTTTTACTGAGAGAGGGTGCTCTAATTTACTGAGAGAGGGTGTTCTGTATTACTAGAACATGGTTCTTTGTTTTACTGAGAGAGGGTGCTCTAATTTACTGAGAGAGGGTGCTCTAATTTACTGAGAGAGGGTGCTCTAATTTACTGAGAGAGGGTGTTCTGTATTACTAGGACATGGTTCTTTGTATCACAGAGAGGGTGCTCTAATTTACTGAGAGAGGGTGCTCTAATTTACTGAGAGAGGGTGCTCTAATTTACTGAGAGAGGGTGTTCTGTATTACTAGGACATGGTTCTTTGTATTACTGAGAGAGGGTGCTCTAATTTACTGAGAGAGGGTGCTCTAATTTACTGAGAGAGGGTGCTCTAATTTACTGAGAGAGAGTGTTCTGTATTACTAGGACATGGTTCTTTGTATTACTGAGAGAGGGTGCTCTACTGAGAGTTGCGGCTCTATATTACTAGAAAATGGTTCACTGTATTACTGGGAGATGGTACTCTATATTACTGGAAGATGGTACTCTATATTACTGGGAGATGGTACTCTATATTACTGGGAGATGGTACTCTATATTACTGGGAGATGGTACTCTATATTACTGGAAGATGGTACTCTATATTACTGGGAGATAGTACTCTATATTACTGGGAGATGGTACTCTATATTACCGGGAGATGGTACTCTATATTACTGGGAGATAGTACTCTATATTACTGGGAGATGGTACTCTATATTACTGGGAGATGGTACTCTATATTACTGGGAGATGGTACTCTATATTACTGGGAGATAGTACTCTATATTACTGGGAGATGGTACTCTATATTACTGGGAGATGGTACTCTATATTACTGAAAGATGGTTCACTATATTATTAGAAGATGGTACTCTAGTTTGTTGGGAGATGGTGTCTCACTTTACTGGGAGTTGGTACTCTAACAGTGATGATAATTTATTATCCTAGAAGATGGTGATGTCTAATGACATATTTTTCTGATTAATTAACAAATGAAATGTAGTGATCAAGGATGATAGATACCTTGTGATATTCATCAAGTTCTGGAAGGTTCAAATCATTGGCACCCCAGTCACGAGATAACTCAACTTCTTCTCTCTCAGACAGCCATGACATCTCAGCAGTTGCCAGCTGAATAAACTCACCCAGCGACTCCAGACAGCGTAGCCGTCTACTGGATGTTTTCTGTGAGGACAAAACAAACATGCCACTGTGGTTATCTGTCATCTAATACTGTACTGTTTACCACATTGTATTTACACTTTCTCCTTGACTTACAGCCAATGCAACTTACGACCATCCGCACTGACAACCATCTGCACTTATGACCACAACAAATAAATAAAAAATAGTGAATATAGAAAGACTGGTAGGGTGAAAAAGTTACCAGAGATGATGCCTAGAGTGCAGAAGGGTCTGGACATCAGTTTGTTTGACCCTATCAAGTTTGACAGACTGTCTGGAACCACAGTTTGAATGAAAATAGCGTTGATAAATATTAATTCGAACTACGACCAGTTTAGCATGCAATCTGTCAGTTGGAATTGAACTGGGTCATAAGTGGAGAAGACCCTGTATATCACATGTCTTGTGATAGGACACATGTTTTTTGGTTTCGTCTTTTGGTTAGGACACAATGTGAGAACGGCAGACTCCTTAACTCTTTTGAGTCCCAAGGAACGCATCACACGTTAATAGATTCCTACCTAGAAGCCCAATGAACGAAAGATGCGCCGATTTTACGTGTCTCTTCCTACCTCTTAGGCCTGTGATGCTAAACCCCCTGGGACTCAAAGAGTTAAGGACCTTCTCTGTGGTGAATAACAAAAGTATTTATGCATACACAGTGATAACTCTGGCTATGCTGTAAGCTGAAGGTATCCCTGTATGTGTTTACATATATGCACATGTTCGATGTGCATTGAGGATAATCTGTCGATCAACTTACACACATACACATATATAGGATACATATATGTATCGATACACAATACATATATGTACCGATACACGATAAATATATGTCTGTATATACACATACATGTTTGTATGTGAACACACACATTCATATTTGTATGTGTACATACATACATCCATGCATGCATCCATTCATACTCACATACATATACACATGTATGTGTGTGTTTGTGTGTGTATGTGTGCTGTGTGTGTAAACACATATATAAGCACACAGCCACCAAAGAAAACTAACAAGTCTACAACTGGCACCATAACACATCTTGCTTCATCTCAACAAGTGTCAGTCGTCAACAGCAGATACCAAACATTCAAACTAACCCAATACAAAGAATGTCTAATCATAGGACAAACTTTACTTACTGAAAGAAGGGAATAAGCCACCTCAACTTTGGAAAGTTTCTGTGTATACACTTTTTGTTCTTCAGACGAAAGATTAACCTGTGGGGGGAAAAATGTATTTAATCAATGTTACTTTAATTAACCTTGCTAAACTCTGGGCAAACAAACACATGTGCTCTAACTCCTAAAGAAGGATGCTAAAACTTCTCACACACTAGTTCTACATTTAGCTTTTGTCTTGGCACTTAATTAAATACAAACTAATCAGTAAGCAGATTGTAGTGTGCACCACTGTTGTAGTTCACAGCAACATGCAAGCAAGTAAACATGCTCATTTTTAAATTGTTTTTGTTTGGGGGAAAGAGAGGAAGGGGGGGGGGGTGTTAAAATGGCCGCCTGTGGCACCCCTGTCAAATGTTCAAAGATGGAAGAGGTGGAGAACAATGTTCCATAGGAGAAGTCCTTCTTTTTTTTCAAGTTCACTGGGTGTAAACTGCAGTGGGGCCATGTCCTAAAAGTTAGTTTTGTGTGCACATTCATTTTACAAATCTGGCTTATTTGTGTACAGACTGCTGGATTCTCATCTCTCAGGTAAATGCACTGTGACATCAAATGAAACACCTCTAGTAACCATTTATGACACTACTGTTAAGGGGTCAGCGAGTCACTTGCCCCCCCCCATCCCAAAGCACCCCAGAACCCACAGAGGGACAAAGTAGGAGCAACAAGACTTACTCTATCACTGATACACTTGTCAATACGTGATCGGAATGACTGAATCTCCTCATGCTCTGCCTTATGTATAGCCAGCTGCTGCAACACCAGGGTGAGCTCACTCTCATACTTGTTCTCCTCCAGGTGTCTCTGAAGAAGTCAAATATTCATGTGTCATTGACATAAACAAACTTAACTCCTTCAGTCCCTAACAACTCCAGGTGGACCAGTGACTCCCCATAGCTTAATGTGCTCTCTTACTTTTAACATTAGTCAGAACATATTTTAAAAAAATCTGCCTTCCCCAAAAATAATTTTCAATGCATATATTGCCATTATAAAAGCAATTTTAGCATCTTCTGTAAAACTTTCTGGCTTTGAAAGATTTAATAGGAAAGAAGAAACAATTTTGAAGCTGCATTCAGGACACTGAGGTCTTAGAGCAGTTGCCACACACTGTCTAGGCTAGGATTTGTAACAAATCAGCATCCTACACCCTGATGGCAGTATCTACTATGACATCACCTTATACAAGAACCTCTGGAGTCTAGCCATAACCACAAGCTAATATGTTGGCACCTTTCTATATTTCCTGACAACAAACAGTGTTTTATTGGTGTATTTCTTCATTTCCATTTCCCAAAAGCTACAAACTAGGCATGCAGGTCTGTCTTCCATTCAGCTTAATCAAAACAATCATGTTTCACACGACAATTCTCCTATTGTGCTATCGATCACAGCCCATGGAAATAGCGAGTGTAACTAGCAAACACCTGATCATGTAAAGAAAGTAAGTAAAAGTAAAGTAAAGATCCCTTTCCACGCCTTTAGGCTTATGAGGCATATGGGAAGAGCTCCCATATTTTTACAGACCATCAGCACTCTGTGGGTAATGTGGTCAGCATTACGCCGGCTGTCTTTACTTTCCCAGGACAGCCCATCCTGGTACCCATTTTAGGCTGGGTCGACCTGCGACGTCCCATACCACGACAAAAATCCACACAGCCTGCAGTTGGTTTCGATCGCGGTACGTTGGATTACAAGTCGGACTCGCAACGCCTAAGCCACGGACGCCACCATGCAAAGAAAAAAATCTTCCATAAACAGAGATCCATGATCGAAACCCACAGATGATGATGACGAAGAAGAAAAAGAAGAAGAGAAAAGATCAGAAAGAGAAAAAAGGAGGAGGAGGAGAATTTAGGAAAACTGTTACTGTGATATGTATTTAATGAACTTCTTCTGAGACACACAGCTTGGAACTTATCTGCAAGCATTCTTATCCTTTATTCCTTTTCATCATCAGGTGCCTTGCCGACTGGCATGGGCGATCATGCCTCTCCACAATCTACGATCTCCTGCAGCATGTATCAGTTCGTGTGCAGACACACCTCTATGCCATGCAACAAGAGTGTCAAGAATCTTTCCTCCTTGTCTTCCTCTATCCCTCCTTCTACAGATGTTTCCAGTGGTCACAACATGTTCCATTTTCCCTCTTCTCATAACATGGCTGAAAAATAATGACTGTCTCCTTCTGATGTCTGTGATAAGTTGTCTCATTCCTCTTTCAAAACCTCTTGGTTGCACTTTTTGGCTGTCCAAGGTATTCTAACCATTCTTCTGTAAAACCACATCTCTGAGGCCCCAAGACATTGTTTGGTCTGCCTACCAATTGTCCAGGATTTACAGCCATATGTTAAAACTGGATGTATGTAGCAAGCAAGATCCAGCTTCAACATATGGCTGTGAATACCTGATTTTATCCCTATTACCTTCCTGATTTTCACCTCCCTGCAACATAGTCCATGGCATCCTATCTCCATCACCCTTATCCTTTATCCCTATTACCGTCCTGATTTTACCCTCCCTGCAACACAGTCAAAGGCATTCTGTCTCCCACATCCACCTCACTGCCTGTACCATTCATGTCTCACTGGCCTTGACTACAGCAACAAGACAAACTCACCTGCTTGGCATCAATCCAGTCCAGGCAGTCCTGCAGGTGTCGGAAGGCAGGATGAGTCTCCATAAGCCTGCCCTCAGAGACAACCTCAGCCTGGGTCTTGGTGAGATGTTCGCGGACATCATCCCCTGGTCGAGCCATCAGAGGATGCAACACCTGACTGTGCAGGTGATTCCTCAGACTGGATACTTTGGCTTGCAGATCAGACACTCTGAAAACAACAATACAACCAGCAAGCTATAGACATGACATTAGGTTCTTCACCACAATCATCATCAACTTTCACTTGTGCAGTTAGTAAGTAAAGGACCCCTTTCCATACCTTCAAGCGGATTGGGCTCACAGGGCTAGACCTATTTTTATAGGATCAGTTGGCACTATTGTAGCTATATATCTAGCTATGTTTTAGCTACTGGTCACTATGATGGCTGCTATATATCCAGCAATGTTTCAGCTACTGGTCACGGGGTCACTATGATGGCTGCTATATATTCAGCAATGTTTCAGCTACTGGTCATGGTGTCATTATGATGGCTGCTATATATCCAGCAATGTTTCAGCTACTGGTCATGGTGTCATTATGATGGCTGCTATATATCCAGCAATGTTTTAGCTACTGGTCACTGTGTCATTATGATGGCTGCTATATATCCAGCAATGTTTCAGCTACTGTTCACGGGGTCACTATGATGGCTGCTATATATTCAGCAATGTTTCAGCTACTGGTCATGGTGTCATTATGATGGCTGCTATATATTCAGCAATGTTTCAGCTACTGGTCACAGGGTCATTATGATGTCTGCTATATATTCAGCAATGTTTCAGCTACTGCCCACTGGGTTATTGGCACATCAAACATGTGATGCTAGAGACATGTTTTTATAGACAAAACAGGACCAAATGAGTGATGTAGTCAATGATACAGTCAATGTTACGCGATGTTTCGGGACTTTACCGGATACTCATTTTAGGCTAAGCTGACTTGAGTGCCAAGCTCATTCTAAAACAAACAACAACAAAAACCAATCTCCATGCAGGTCTGGTCATGAAATTTGGGTTGGTAGGCAAATGTCTTGCTGATAAACTGGCCAACTAGTGAGTGAGCAACAAACTTGAAACTCAAGAACAAGGATTGGAAGGAAAGAGCACAAAGAAAAGTAAAAGATGAAAAAGAAGACACAGAAGGAGGAGGAGGATGAGAAAAAGAAGACAACGAAAATGACCGCGCTGCCACCACCACAGACAAAGATGACAAAGAATTTGAAGGAGAAGAAGATAAAAGAACAGAACAGAAAGAGAAAAAAGAAGAGGAGAAAGAAACATTTATTACCTTTTGTACAGCTGCTCAGCGTGAGGATGACTGCCATCTTGCAAAGTCTGGCAATCACGAAAGAGGCCTCTCAGAGATTCCTCAACACCCTTTAGAGCTCGATCGAGAGCATCACAGTTGCGTTTGGCTTCAAAAGCGTGCATCAGCTCCTGGCCACGTACGGTGTCTTCTATCCTGCGACTCAAATCTGCCAGTGTCTCCTCGTTATATCGGACGTCCCGCTGCACTTTCTCCGCCAGTCGATGCAAGCGCTCCAATCTATACATTAAATACAATATTCATAAAACTTTCTAGCAAATGGTGAGGAAATCAAGGCTGTTTATATCTGTAGGTATATATGCATATGTGCGTCTTAGCATCAATACATAGGGCTGGCCAAGTTGGTATAGTAGCGACTACGGTGTTAGGCAATTGGCGGTCTTTTCGGCCATTTCCGTTACCCGGAAACCGTTCGCAACTTGTTTTGGGAAATCTCGGCTGGTTTCCGGATGGGTCCAAATCTCTCATGAAATTTTGCCATTGGTGGGAATTTGGACCAGCTATAAATAGCTGAAAACAGCGGGAGGGAACCCGATTAACAGCGCATGTCTACGACAGCCGGACGTCCTCTGTTTTTCTGTTAGTCATCAGTTTGATTGAAAATAGCGGTAAATTCGAGGTTGGCTTTAGGCTTTAACTGTTACTCGTCCTGGTAATGCTAGTTATAATAGAATTCTCCGTCCAATTTTACATTTGTGTATAAAATTTCTTTCTGAACGGTGGCTAGGTAGATGTACAGTGACATTTTTCAGGCAATCGCTGGCTCAGCCAGTGGCTGTGTCTCATTGCCTGCCATCTTGTCCAATGACAGTCCAATGTCAACAAAGCCGATACAGAACTGTGCAGTAGGTTGCGCAGAGAAAAACCTTGTTTCTGGGTCACAAGTTTTAGCGGCTGTTTCTTACATCTCATCTCCACAAAAACCTACATATCTCAGCTCAGAAATGACATACAAGCCTAAATGAGGTACCATTGGAAAGAAATTGTTTACAGCTATCTAACTGTGCTGGTTTTATTGGTGTAGAGGGCATTTTAAAAATTTTACTGAAGTAGCTAGGTATAGCACTGAGTTCTCAGCAAATGGTGAGGAAATCAAGGCTGTTAATATCTGTAGGTATATATGCATATGTGTGTCTTAGCATCAATACATAGGGCTGGCCAAGTTGGTATAGCGCTGAGTTCTCATGCAGGGAGATGCAGGATTAATCAAATCCTCTTTTCTTGGGACAGCTGCAAAAATCAAAATCCTAAACCTGCACAGTAGGTGGTGACTGAACTAGCAATGCAGCCATGATCCTTTTGTCCTGTCAAATTTTTTTTTCTTTTCTGCAGTCGATGGTGACAGAGCCATGCTGTTTTTAATTCTCAGACTTGAGGACTCCTCTGCTTACACTACAAAAGTGCTGACTACAGGAAGTAATGGCAGATCTGCATAGAGATGGGTTGTTGTTGTTGTTGTTGTTTTAGAATGAGCTTGGCCCTCAGGTCAGCTTAGCCTAAACAACAACAAAACTGCCAAACAATAAGGCTCCAGAGCCCACTCAGGGAACAGAACCGGATGATTCAGGGAACAGAACCATATGATTCAGGGAACAGAACTGGATGATTCAGGGAACAGAACCGGATGATTCAGTGGGTTTTACCTGATGACTTCTGCTTGCAAGGTCATGTCCCTCTCCTGCATGGCGGCCTCAAACCTGCTCCACATCCGCGACACGTTGTGAGGCAGCAACTCATCCTCAATGCTCATCTGTGAAGGGTCGGTGGTTAAGCTCTGACCAATCAAAACACCAGACTTAGAACAGTAACATTTTACAACAACCAACAACATAATACTTCTCCTCCTGCATTCATTCTTAAAAGGTTGGATTGGCGCACATGGCATTGTGGTTTACAGCTAGGCAGCAATATATGTGCCTTCCGGCCAAACACATCTACTTTCCCCAAATCTCTCATTAGCTGTCTTTAACAACATGCTTGTTGAGGTGGGGTAAGGAGAGGTAGCAGGTCTAACATCTCTCTCCCCTCCAATTGAGAAGGGATATAATACAATACACAAGAAAATTTAAGTCACTCTAACAGATATACATGGGGGTCAGAGTAGTGTAAACCTTAGCACATATGCCTGCCATCCGAATATATCCCCAGCAAAATATTGGGCTCTAGTGAGAGATAAGAGGAGGAGGAGGAGGAGGAAGAAGGAAGATGAATGAAGAGGAAGGAAGAAAAAGAATGAACAAATGAACTTTATTTTCAAAGGGTTACAAATTGGGCACGCAGGCCCGTCTTACATTCTGCTCTTCCAAACACCCATCTTTCACACTGCAATTGTATTTTATCAATAAGCATGTTATTTTCATATGATAATATGCATGTAATGAATATAAAGAAGAAGAAGAAGGAAGAAGGAGGAGGACGATGAGAAGGAGAAGAAGAAAAAAGTAGGAGGAGGAGATATCATCAACAATGAATTAAATGATTCATCATGATCCTGTTGTGTTATGTCACACAGGGCTGGGCTGACAGTTTATTCTCACATTCCATTCTATCTTATCCTGTGCAAATGTTTCAATATCAAGGATAGAATCCAGTTCAGCTCTTTGGGCTCTCTTAGTTCACTGACTGCATTTCTTTTTTAAAATTTGATACTTTGTTTTTAAAACAGACTTTGTTTTTAAAACAGACTTTGTTTTTAAAACAGACTTAACCCTTTTGCCATAGTGACCTATAAAAAAAATTTAATGTGAAAAACCCATATTTTGGGAATTTTAGGAAAGTTTTTGGAAATTTAATTTTTTGTTGTTGTAGGAAACAACTGTAAATAATGGGAAATTCTGATGTCCTAATTTATTTAAACAAAGTCATTTTCCACGAGGAAACCCCCACCTAAATACTAGTGTTAGCAACTATGCTAGTTACAGGTCATTCTAAAAAAATTGCCCAGTTAAAAGGAAAGAAAAAAATGATTACCTTTGTTCCATTATTATCTAAGTGTTTTTAAAAACTGTTGTCAGGTGAAACAATACAAAACCTTACTTACAGCCATCATCTTGACCAACCTACCTGTATCTCATCAAAGAGCTTTAACAGTTTGTTTCTGACCTCTAGATGAGGTGGCACATCCTCGTTGCGGAACCGATTAAAGCCAGACTGAAGAGCCTGGATAGTAGAAGATTATCATCGTAACAGCAAAGCCATAATCAATTTACAACAACAAATCAGCAATATGATGGAAATGGAAGTTTGCATTTGCTGCTGAGGACAAGAATATCCAGAGTGCCATGATACAGGTCTTTAACTCATTTTTACATCAGCAATAAAAATTCATTTATTCATTAATTTTGTTCTTCTTTTACTGTTTAAATGTTTATTCTGAGGTCTATTATATTTTTCATTATTGTGGCAGGCAATCTCTCTCTTTCGCCACTCCTTTTTCATCCGCATCCGTGCTTCTCTCACTTTTACCTACCTTCCTTCTTTCTATCCTTCTTATTTTACTCGCACTTGATCTTTGCTTCCACCCCACCCCTCCACCAAACCTTCCCATTCTGTTATTTCACTTCCTTCTCTTTTCTGTGTTCCTGAATGTATCTGTGGTGTCTGTATGCAGGTGTTGTGTTTGTGTCCGTGTAAGTTATCTTTGTATGTTCTGTCTCTGTGTGTGTGAGTGAGTGTGTGTGTGCATGGTTTTTATGTACTGTGTCTGTTATGTTTTGTGTACTGCTGCAACTGTTTGGGAATTATGACTGTTTGTGTATAAATCTGTCTGTCGTATGTGTGTGTGTGTGAGAGAGAGAGAGAGAGAGAGAGAGAGAGAGAGAGAGAGAGAAATAGAGAGAGAAATAGAGAGAGAGAGAGTCAGAAAAGAGAGAGAGAGAAAGAAGAGAGAGAGAGACAGACAGAAGAGAGAGAGAGAGAGAGAGAGAGAGAGAGAGAGAGAGAGAGAGAGAGAGAGAGAGAGAGAGAGAGAGAGAGAGAGAGAGAGAGAGAGAGTACATGTGCGTGCGTGCATGTGTTTTTTTGTTTTATTATACTGCCATGCATGTTTTTCTGCCTCATGTGTGTGTCTGCAATGTGTTCCATGTGTACTTGAAGGTTTCAATTTGTCATAAATGTGTCTGTATTTATATTTCATGCTAAGCAAATTTTGGGAAATTAACATAAAATATTTGATATATAAAAATACAACTGCTGTGTAAAAGATGAGTGTTTGAAAGGACCGAATGTGAAGACGGGCCTGCGTGCCCAATCTATGACCCTTTGGGAAAATAAGTTTTTCATTTTCTCTGTTTCCATATGAAACTTCCCAACCTTTCGATCTTAATGAGTATGTTATAGTGAATAACAGTAGTTTGTGATAAATAGTTTTTAAAAAAAAAAGGTTAGTGCAGCAGAAGAAAAGGAGGAGGAGGGGAAGAGAGAGGGGGGGGGGGGGAGAGCAAGTGAGAAATTTGAGTCAAATCTCCCACAACGGCTGAATTCTTGTTTTTGATCTGTACAGTTCTAGCATTACCCAGTCTCTCACAATAGATAATGAACAATTATCACTGAATTATCTAGAAAGAAGAGATGGCAAATAAGGGAACTGGCCACTCAACCGCATTATGTTATTTATCTAGAATGTGTGAAAATTGAATACTTGTCCATCAAAAGTAGTGTCTGCCATTGGGCTAAGTTTGAAATGTGACCAAACAATACTAATTTGTTTTTTTTTAAAAACTGGCAATAAAGAAAATTTACTAAAGAAATAAAAGTACACAGGCACAAACTCAGACATCTCCTCTCACACAAACACATACAAGACAAAGAAGATGTGAAAAAGAAAATTGAGCAAGATAGTAAACAAAGAATACACATTAAGAAACTAATCCTATGACTGTACAGGATAGATAAATAAATAAAATGATTACCAACAAATGGTAAAGAATACCAAAAAAAAATAAAAAAATATTACAAGACAGAAAAAAACTGACAATTAAAAAAAAAAGTGCAAAACAGAAAAATAAAATGACAAGATGTAGAGAGAATAAATAAATAAATAATTTTACATAAAGATATCACCAAAAAATGATGGGTACAAAAAAGGCAGATGTAAGTGTTTCAAACTGACAAGAAACAACAACAAATGTATGGGGGAAAATGAGAAGGGCAAGGAAAAAAAAAGCAGATCAGAAGGAAAAAAGAAAAACAACCAACATACTTTGATCTCAATAAGTGTGGAAGGATAATTTCTACTCAGCATCAACTTGATAGAATCTCTGATCCAGGTGAGCAGTAAGGCGGCCTCTTCTCGATACTCCTCGGCTTTGAGTTTCCGCTCCTGCAGCAGACAGATAGGTACATGATGAAGCTATGATGATAACAGCAACCCGTACCAGATAAACCCACTCACTGCTCTCTCAGGATTCACAACTTTATCTTTTCAAATGAAGAACACATGTCACTAAAAGATCCACAAATTAATCATGAAATAATACAGATTCAATTTGTTCGGTTGTGAGTCATGGACGATAAGCACAGAAAGACAGCAGTCGCTTTGTGTAAAGGAAATTTAGCTAAACTGTTTTGTAATTTCTTAAAATGGTCCTCTCACTGGATTTTCTGTTTTCATTTACTTTGAGCCCTCTTATGTCTCTTTTCTACATTTAATCTTTACCTATAATTTTCTTTGCTGATTCTACATCTATCTGTTTTCTTTATTGAAAATGCACTTATGTTTTATTTACTGAATCTATATTTATAAACTGTCAATGAGTTAGCTGGACTGTCCACTATTTTGACTGGAATGTCCAGTATTTCTGATCAGCTTTTCCAGTATTTCTGACCAACATGTCCAGATTTCTGACTAGACTGTCAGTACTTCTGACCATATTGTCCAGTTTTCCTGTATAAATTGTCCAGTATTTCTGACCAGACTTGTTGCGAAACTGTGCCAGACTTTTGAGACAACATGCACACAGAGAGTTTCCCAGCAGATCAGTGGTAATCTAATCTCCAATGACATCTGAGCCATGTTATTTCTATGGAGTTCTTTATCTAGGATTCGCTGCAGAGAAAATAAAGACATGTTGGCAAGCCTATTTTATGTGCTTGTCATGTCATACCTTGTCTGCTGTCTCTTCTTGATGTGAATAAACAATTATTTCTTGGTTATGGTGATAGTGCTAACTTGGAAAATGATGATTTTATTGTCTATCCCACTTACAACCCCCCCCCCCCTCCCCCACACCCAACAGGGTCCTAAACTTTTGTACTTAATTTCAGTCTGTGTATGTGTGTAGTGTGTGTGTACACTAAATTTTTTGTGGTCTGTGTGTTTTTAGTCTGTGGGTGGTGTGAGTTGTGTGAGTGTGTAGTAGGTGTGGTTCTGATGTGTGTGGTTGTGGTTTGTGTGGTTTATATGTGTGCGCATGTTAGGTTGGTGGGGTGTGTGGTGTAAGTGTGTGTATGCACACATACGTGCATATATCAAAAACCTGAAAGACAATAGGTGTCTGAAGACTTAGTTTGACAAAAGAAAGAATATACTGGATGGTTTGTCAGAGCATCATATAAGACGAGGGTTGTGAATCATTTCAACATAGACAACTGTGGAGCAGCATGACATATTGTGCTACTCAGCACTGTACGTAAGATACATATATTTTCATATATATTTTCGGGTGGGTTCCATGGTCCCATTATGGGGAAAACTAGAACAGTACAACTCTTCCTCCCCTCCCCCCCCCCCCCCCCCCCCCAAACAAGTATGTAGCAGGAGTCAACTAACTGGGAATGTTTCCTTCAAAGGATAGATGATCACGGAGGGACATGACCGACTGTGCCACTCAACATGGTACACAAGACACACTACATGCACACACAGCTAATCAAACTCACATTGTCCTTCAGAGACTGCTCAACACTGGGCACCTCCGGGAAGACATCATACAGGGAGGACACGTAGGTGATGATTGACTTCTCATCTGGGTTGGGTACATCCACATCTGTGCCAGAACATGGGCAAACAAAAGACTGCAAGTTACAACCATGGACATATATATATATAACATAGACAAGGATAGTCACCACAGCTGCCCGATCTCTTCTCTACCCACACTTTCATTAGTGACATTAATACAAAGCTTGAGACTCAGTAGTTTTTGTAATTCGTTCAGAAGTAGATCTTTAACTTCTCTGTTAACAGTAAAAAATTATCATCAATCTAAATAACATATTATTGTTCTCACTGATAGCTTGCAAAATATTCACTATATTCCCACTCAAATATGAAATGAAGGCATCAAATTCACCAATGATCATAAAACCCAATATCTGGTAGATATGATTATCATGATAACTATCATGATAAAATTATCATGATAACAACCATCATGAAGAAAAATATCATGATGACAACTATCATGATGACAACAACTATCATGATGACAACTATCATGACGACAACTATCATGATGACAATTATCATAATGATAACAACAAAAATGATGATAGTTATAATGGTAATGACCAGTCTAATAGTGATGGTAGTTAGCATGATTATAGTGATGTGATCACCAGACAGTTCTAGATAACAATGATGATTGTTATGATGGTAGTGTGGTTACAACAGAGGTGGTGGTGGATAATGATAAATAAACAGCAATGGAATGGTTGAAATTTCCTTGGACAGTCAATCGCCACTTCCCCACCCCCACCAAAGTAAAAGTAACCCAGACATTTCTAAAGAAGTGAGGGCCCAAAGACAACTTACCACAAACAGAAGGGGACAGTTATCAATTTCCAGCCATGTTAAAAGAAGAGGGAAATCTTGAACATGTGATGGATACTGCTTTTTTTTTTTGATAAGAAGTATGATGGCCAGGTTGGTGGTGATATGTGGTGGGTGTGATCATTATCATCATTACAACTTTACAATAACCAAAAACAAAAATTATGGCGTAATGATGATGAAGATAGTGATGATGATAACAAAAATATACATCATTATTATTATCTGACACTGAAGGTGTCCATAACAAAGAGTACTGCATCCATAGATACAGACTTCATCACATCCAAAAAGAAAACCAACATAACTATTTTTCTTGTGATATACATATGTTTACACATAGTGGATATCAGTCATTACATAATATGTGAATAACTAAAGATGTTTAAGATATATTTATAGTATGCAAATCTCTTAAGTGAACCTTGAAGACAAGGGAGAAACCCCCACATTAATTCATCACATGAATGACCCTATTTTTTCATTTAATTTGTGCATTCCTGAGCAAGGACTGTTTATTTACAAACTAGGTTATCTGAAGCAAAGGTCTGCAGCAAATACTATATATTTAGCAGATAGCGTAATTCTCTATAGGTTAGGTTAGTTGCGTATCCTTTACAGGACGTTGCAGAAAAAACCTCAACAGCCCCTGGCTGTTGTGTGGTTTTTCTAGGCACATTTACGTCCAGTAGTTTGCCATTGCTTTCTGGATGGTCGGTTTTCTTGATACCACTGTCGAAACCAACGCAAGGCGCATAATTCTCTATAGAAGAAGGATAATAATGGCAATTCTATGCTGTCATTAAATCAATGTTTAAAATAAAACAAAAACAAAAACATGCTTGGCTGATTTATACTGCAGGTGAAAAACAAAGGAAATGGTGTTGTATCAGAAAATACAAACATTCTAGACAATTCAGTTGCTGGCAAGACTACACTGCGAAAACAATGACACAGAAATTCACAAGAACACAGAAGTCAACTTAACGGCCAAAGCTATGATGCTGATTTTTTCCTTACATAAGTTACATTAAAAGCTGAATTGTGTGGATAAACACAAAATGTAGGAAATCATTGAAGGCATAAAATGAAACAGGATGTAATGATCAACATGAATACACAAGTATGCACAAATAAGAAAGTAGAGTAAAAGTAGCTATGTGACAAGGATAAACTGGCCAACAATATACATGCTTAGTTTTCTAGTTGTTGTCACATCATTATAAACAACACAACGACATCTCCATTCTACTAAACTATACTTGCGGTAAACAATACCATTTCAGGCATATCGTTCATCATTGTCCTGCTGTGTCATGACATGTCACAAAGGGCTTGCAGCCTGTTCCTCTATCTTGTGCAGTCCTTTCGATATCACAGATGGAATTAAATCCTGCACCCTTTGGCTGTTCATCAATTTGTTTAGGGTTTATTTTGGATGTCCTCACTTCCCCAATCTTTTCATTTCCAATTTGAGGTCTTGCTTGGTGATTCTCTGCTCATGTCATCTCAGAATGTGTCCAATATAGTGTCTTCTTCTGTGTGTCATCTCAGAATGTGTCCAATATAGCACTTTCTTCTGTGTGTCATCTCAGAATGTGTCCAATATAGCACCTTCTTTGTGTTATCTCAGAATGTGTCCAATATAGCGCCTTCTTTATGTCATCTCAGAATGTGTCCAATATAGCGCCTTCTTCTTTATGTCATCTCAGAATGTGTCCAATATAGCGCCTTCTTCTTTGTGCCATCTCAGAATGTGTCCAATATAGCGCCTTCCTCTTTATGTCATCTCAGAATGTGTCCAATATAGCGCCTTCCTCTTTGTGTCATCTCAGAATGTGTCCAATATAGCGACTTCTTCTTTGTGCCATCTCAGAATGTGTCCAATATAGCGCCTTCTTCTTTGTGTCATCTCAGAATGTGTCCAATATAGCGCCTTCCTCTTTGTGTCATCTCAGAATGTGTCCAATATAGCGCCTTCTTGTTTGTGTCATCTCAGAATGTGTCCAATATAGCACCTTCTTTGTGTCATCTCAGAATGTGTCCAATATAGCGCTTTCTTCTTTATGTCATCTCAGAATGTGTCCAATATAGCACCTTCTTCTTTATGTCATCTCAGAATGTGTCCAATATAGCGCCTTCTTCTTTGTGTCATCTCAGAATGTGTCCAATATAGCGCCTTCTTCTTTGTGTCATCTCAGAATGTGTCCAATATAGCGCCTTCTTCTTTGTGTCATCTCAGAATGTGTCCAATATAGCGCCTTCTTCTTTGTGTCATCTCAGAATGTGTCCAATATAGCGCCTTCTTCTTTGTGTCATCTCAGAATGTGTCCAATATAGCGCCTTCTTCTTTGTGTCATCTCAGAATGTGTCCAATATAGCGCTTTCTTTTTTATCTTATAACTGTTGCTACCAGTGGTTGCCTAGATGTTTCTCTATCCCTCTTGAAATTCATCCCATTCCTGGCATACTGGGAGGATTCTGCAACACGAGGGACCCTTTTCATGCCACTATGGTGTTAGACTCATATTCAACATTTAGTTGGTGAATTGATCAACACCATAGTAGCCGCCTTTACTTCCCAGGGCATTTCATAGTAAGCCTTTTAGGCTGGGTCAACCAGGGAGGAAAGGTCACTTACAAGAGCAGGTTTAAAAGTCTATCACTAGCAGGAAAAGATTTAGCCACAATCCTACAACAGTCCTGTTGTCATATCATCATGGATACCACATCCACTTTCTTTAGGTAATAACAGTTCCAGATTCATAGCAAACGGGTCACCCCGTAGCAAACGGGTCACCCCATGGCAAACGGGTCACCCCATGGCAAATGGGTCACCCCATGGTAAACGGGTCACCCCATGGCAAACGGGTCACCCCATGGCAACGGGTCACCCCACAGCAAACGGGTCACCCCATAGCAAACGGGTCACCCCACAGCAAACGGGTCACCCCATAGCAAACGGGTCACCCCATGGCAAACGGGTCACCCCATAGCAAACGGGTCACCCCACAGCAAACAGGTCACCCCATAGCAAACAGATCACCCCATAGCAAGCGGGTCACCCCATTGTTGCTCCATGTTACCTTATAGTTGCACCGTTCCTGTGGCAACAACAACCACACTGAATGGAAACCACTGCCCCTTGTGGAAAAAACTTGACATCGACTTTCTTCCTTCAGATATTTTGTGCAACTATCCTGGCAACGCACAATATCATATCTGGCATATACCACAAATATTTTGCCAGGTCTTTTCCAAATATTTCTCAGAAAATCTTTAAGAGTGTCCTGTACTGATTTTTATGAAGTTTGTTTAATTCTAAGGGAGTTGCCGTGGCGAAGCGGCTAGACACTCGCCCCGGATTGGAAGGTCGTGGGTTCCTTCCTGGGGGAGCCGGGCTTTTTTTTTTCTTTTTTTTTTTTTTTCGAAAATGACCTTGGCTTCCAGGTCGACCCAGCCTTGAGTGGGTACTGGGTGCAGTCCTGGGAAGTAGGGACGGCTGGCGTGATGCTGACCACATCACCCATCTTGTGCCGACTGGTCTATAAAAAATATAGGTCTAGCCCTATATGCCCTAAACGCCTAAAGGCCTGGAAGAGGGTCCTTTACTTCTTTTTTTTACTTTGTTTAATTCTAAATAGAATAATTTACTTATTCTGTTTTATGCTGTGAGTAAACATCAGGCAAAAACAATTGACACAGGCAAATATCCATGTTTCTGGGAAAAACCTTGGAAGGAAAGGTGAAAGATAACTGGTCCACCCATACCATATATCCTAGCTTAAGAATTGCAAAGACCTAACATCTGCTATGAATATGGTGACTATACGTTTTCATCGTAACAGTCCCATTTTTTTAAAAGTGTGTTTGGGCCGTCCTATCGGTACATACAAAAGCACTGTGTCCTGTTTTATACAAATCTAGGAATTAACTCAAGAATAGAACACACATTTATAGTTACATCTGCTGACCTTTTTTAGATTTTATAGTTTTAGATACTTTAAATGCCTGAAATGTGTTGATGAGAATTTTTACTGTACCATTTTTTCAGTACAAATAAAGCGCATATTATCTAATTTACTTCTCAGCTACAGTAGACTGAGTTTTAATACCACAGCCAAGCGCGTAAATAACCCTTTCACCCTGATGACCTAAAAAAATAAGGGGGGGGGGGGGGGGTTGAGGAAAGGGCAGGGGTTTATACTGACATGCCTGTAATGTCCCGCTTTTTGCTCAAAATAATAGTAGGATTTCCCGAGTCAGTTCAAGATGATATAGTCACTCTAGCTTTGAGATTACCTTTACCTCCTCTTCTCCAAGCTAACTAGCCAACAGAGTTGACAAGAACACTACTAGTAAAATAAGTAAAGGACCCTTTTCCACGCCTTTTAGGCATATTGGGCATATAGGGCTAGACCTATATTTTATACAAAAATGGCACTTGGTAGGTGATGTGGTCAGCATCATGCCAGCCGCCTTTACTTCCCAGGACTGCACCTTGTACCCACTCACGGCTGGGTCAACCTGAAAGTCAAAGTAATTTCCGAAAAAATCCGGTACTCGTCACGAACCGAACCCACGACCTTCCAATCCACAGGTGAGCGTCTAGCCGCTAGACCACAGAACGGTAGTAAAACTTCACATTTGCCAAGACACATACTAGGATGTAACATACAGTTTAGGATGAAGCCTTTGTTGGCAATATTTACTTGAAAGTTAAAGTAGTTCCTCCCCAACAGGTTTCAACCCAGTGCCAAGAGCAGTAACATGAATGAAGACACACAAGGTGAACTACAGAGATAAATATTTAATCTAACAAAGGACTTTGCTATACTCAACAAGCTGTTCTCCCAGTTATATCAACGGAGATTTTTGTGAGTTATTCAATTTCTGAGAAACTGCCGCGTCTTACTAACATGACTGTTGTATAAAAAGTGTGAATACACAAACAGGTTTAAATTTCTTTTAAATTTAAAACATTCACATACTAACAATAAACAACCTAATGCATGCATGCAGGCAGGCAGGTAAAATTCTAACCATATAACAAACGCAAGAGTAAGAATGATGAAACTGTAGGAGTGAGCGCAAAAGAAGTCTTTCACTGTACCTGTGATATGACTGTCAAGGAATTGTTAAAGCTAGGAGTTGTGCCTACCTTTCTACCTTTCAAATATTTGATACTGGACAAGTACATGTTTGTTTCTGTGTGTAAACAAACGGGTCATGTGGGTAATTAATCTAAGGCTCCTGTGATGAAGTGTACAGAAAAACAATGAATCATTTTCTGTGTATTTCAGTCGAAGGTTTCCTTTCTGTGTTCCATTATTTAAAAAAAAACAAAAAACTATAAGGCTTCATTATATATTGACTTAAATTATGTCAGTGACGAGATTCAGCAATAAACTGCCGGATATACTGGTTTGTGTCCTAATGTCGCTCTCATAATGAGAAATAATCTGTGTATGTTTATTGGTCGGCTTATTGATCTTTTAACTTCATAAGAAAACTGGGGGATTGGGCAAACATCACAGCCAAGTGAGCAATACAAATACACCACCATAAAAAAATCACACGGTCTGTGCAGTGTACACAAGAAAAGTCATGCATAGCTACACCAGGTTCTCCTCCACATGTTGCTTCCCTGCTGTCCTGACACACAAACATACATACACATATGTATACGCACCACACAACTCTGCAGCAGCAGAGAGAGATGGAACTCAGCTTTGGTTTGTGTTTGCCTACAACATTACAGTCCAGACCAGAATTCAACATGCCCATTAGGGAGCCACGGTGGTGTAGTCCACGTTCAAACGGAGCTAGACTTTTTATTTTAACGACCTTGGCTTCCAGCTCGACCCAGCCTTACAATGGTACCAGGTAACATGGGAAGTAAAGGTGGCCAGTGTGATATTGACCACATCACCTGCTGAGTGCTGAGACTGGTCTATCAATTACAGGTAGCCCTATAGGCCCAAAATGCTTAAAGGCATGGAACAGAGTCCTTTATTTACTTTACTATATCTCCTTAATATCAATGGCAACAGAAAGTAGTCAGAGCTACTGGTTATCACAAACAAAACAAAAACACCTGTATATAGATCATGATAAATGTGTGTTCTATAGCACCACGACATAACAGATCTCATCAATTTTCTATTTGTTCTCAAATCAAATACAATTGCAGTATGAAAGGTGAGTGTCTGGAAGGGCTGAATGTAAATAGCGTATGTGTGCCCAATTTGTGACCCTTTGAAAATAATGTTTGTTCGTGCCTATGCTGGAAAAGCAATCATTATCATTCATGTACAACCTTGAATCTTCTTATCCTGTTACCTCAACTGTCTTATTAAATGAAAAGCAGCTGCAACCAATTTCTGTTTCCATCATTTTTTTTAAATCAACCTTCTAGGATTGAAACCCACTGACTCAAAGAGCCACTATTTGGAGCAAATCTCAGAGGCCTTGTTCAGCCATATAATACAGTTATATTGGAACAAACGAACAAACTTTATTTTTAAAAGGTTGCAAATTGGGCATGCAGGCCCGTCTTACATTCGGCCCTTCCAAACACCCATCTTTCACACTGCAGCTGTACTTTATCAATAAGCATGTATATAGATCAATTGTTCATCAGTTCAAGATACAGATACAGAAAGCAATGCGATGACCTGTATGGACAGGATAGTTTCTTGTCATCCTTCTTCACAAGCTCAATGCTCTGTCATAATTCACAACGGACAGATGCTTTTTGACCAAATGGCCATAATCTGATTGCTACAGACCCAGAAGTAGAATTGTGAGATAATACACCTTCTAGACACCCTAACCAAATGACAATGGGTACCATCAGTGTGTCATCTATTTACGGGCTGTTGAGACGGGAGACAGAGCTAATATGGGCCTGTCCTAAATGCTGTAAAGTGAATCTTTACCCGGATGCACGCTCCCAAAAATTATGGCCAAGAGAATGTGCCACCATTCACCACATCTATAATTAATGGGGTAAAATGATGAATGTCCTACAAGCAGCCCACATCTGCAAGTCACAGTAGAAACTAATAATAAATGCCCTACCAGGCCCTCTCTTAAGATTTTCAATAACAGGATGAACTAATGAATGTCCAACTACTCTCAGATACACAAGTAATGAAATGAACTGATGGAACGTCCTACTAGCTACCCACAGATGTTGAAGTGTAATGACAAAGGTCCTACAAACCAATTACAAATGTAGAAGTAACAGGATGAACTAATGAATGTAATAATATCCACTCAGATGACAGCTCAGACTTTACCCACTTCTGCAGCCAATACAGGCGCCCTAATTATAACTTCCTTGGAGGCTGAACGGAGTAGCTGGGATATACCCTAATCTGCCATCCAGACTTAGATTTTGAAATCTCAGTATGGTACAGTGATCTTTTATTTATGTGGCAGCCAAGAGGGGACAAACTGATCAATCGACGATCATGACGGCTACAGGACAACTCACCATCTGTATCCAGAAGTCTGGTGACACCCAGCTCCCTCTCAGCTATACTAAATGCTGACTCCAAGTTCTGCTTGTTGCTGTTCTGCCTCATCTGTCGGATGTCCACCAAATCTGGCCTGAGAGACACAGACAACATAGTGCAATAATCAAAATCCTGTGCTGTGTAAACAAAAGGATCATGTATTTAATCATAGAATTCTGTGGTGAAATGGTCAGTGTAACAAGAGACTAGGTGATCTTTTACTGCAGCTGATATCATGAAAAGATATCAAACCAAATGAAAAGTAGAACCAATGAGCTTCACATTATCACAAACGCTGAGTGAATGTTGCGACCAGATAGCCTTCATCAACACATACATGAACAAGAATACCCAAAATCACTTAACTGAAGTGTCTCTAAAAGAAATCACATAAATGTATGCCCAGCTGAATTTCTGACATGTCTGTAACCACAGAAAATAAATACTAGCCAGAAAATGTTGTGAATGGCAAGGGCCATAACTAAGAAATTTTAGACAAAACTGTGTTGGATGTTGAGTCCCCTGGATGAATAGGATTGGTAGGATTCATTTGACTGCAACATTATATGATGACTCTTTACTTATGCATCTGATGAGATCCAGTAATTAATATATATTAGGCCTCTGTGTGGGTTCCGGGGCCCCATTGTGAGGAAAACAAGAATAGACCCACTGCCTCCCCAAAAGCATGTCGTGAGAGTCGACTAATTGGGGAGCTTCCTTTAAAGTCGGAGTGCATCTGCCAGAGAGGCAAGGAACCAACAGTCTGTATTCAAGAGAATGAGATCTGTAAAACTGATGCACACGCAACACTCAGGTTCTGGAGCAGGACTGCAGTTCAGCAGTGGACAAGCAACCAGAACCTTCCGCCAGAGTTTACAGCTGGTGAACGCGAAGAAGAAGAATATATATTAGGCAATATATTGTCAAATATATATTGTTTTGTGTCCACACACATGGTCTCCGTGGTGAAGTGGTCAAGCCGTTTGCCTCGCTCTCTGAAGGTCATGGGTTCGTTTCATCGCTGTGCCGTTCAGTTCACGAGTGCAATTACGGAGATCCCTGGGGATTGTCGCCAGAGCTATGGAGTTCATGCTTTGTGCAATGCTCTCGACAGGCAGCTAGTTAATCTGCGGGGGGAAGACTGAGCCATATGGGAATCAAACCTGGGGCAATTAATTTCAACTTTAACTTGTATGTATGTATATATGTATGACAGTTTTATTCACAGACACAGTAACATAATAAATAATTGATCAGGTTTCATTAAACTAAGGTGTCCAAACACTTTCTAGGTTGTCTTCCTGTAAATCTGATAGAGGATGTCATATGTCTATTATTTCTTGACCTCAAAGACAGTAATGTGTTCAGTCTAGGATTCATTCCCAGGGCAGGAAGTCAGTCCTGTTGGTGTCAGTCTTTGCCAGGAAAGCCCACACTATATTGATTATTTCAGCACTGTTTTGCATCTTTCTATGTGTAGTGTTGATGTAATGATGAATGTTTTACCACTTGTTCTGCACACTGGGTTTCCTTCACTCAGCCATGTCCATCTGCATACATCCAGGTGAGTGATATGAAGCTAGACTTCCTAATATTGTCTACCCTTTTACAGCAAAGATTTTGGAATGCGACAGTTAAAAAGTCATGACATTTCTTATTCTTGTTCTTCACTATGAACTCCGGCAGAAAGTTCTGGTTGCTGATTGACTTTTGGAAAGTAGTCTTGTTTGAAAACTTGAGTTTTGGAAGTACATTCGTTTAACAGTTCTGGCTTATTTTTATATAGACTGTTGGTTTCATGGCTGTCAAGCAGATGTCCTGCGAGTTTGAAAGAAATCCCCTAAATAATCAACTCTTACAATATGCTTATTATTGAGGCAGCAGTTCTATCCCCCCCCCCCCCCCCCCCCCCCCCCTCCTTATATATTAAGGCCCAGGAAACTACAGGAGATCTGACTTTACACACACTGTTTTTATCTCACTAATGGAGCCCGGCTCGCGAGCGCAGCTGGTTTAACCTGACTTTGCGGCAACCGGGTGACGAACTCCTCGTGGTCCGGGTTCACTCCCTGGGGTTGGCAGAAAAGCTACATTTCTCCCAGATTTACGGTACCTATCATGGAAACAAGGCCGAAGGCTTGCAATAACCATAGCACCAAGCCAAAGGGTTAAACAACTCATGGTTTCTGGATACTCTAAATAAAAATCCCTCTGATGGGACATGACGACAACAGGCTGGACTAGAACATCCACAGACAACATACCTGTTCCTGTGTAGAATGGACAGAAAAGCCCTGCCATCTCTCCACGATGAGGAGAAGTCCCGAATCTTGACTCCTGGGTAGCCATCTGTGGTCCTGCGACTCCACAGCAGCAGGGCCTCCTTAGCTGTGATGTCCTCTTGGCCTGGCACCACAACATCCGAAATCTGCCAACAGAAAATCATATCACTAGAAACAGTGCCATCTCCTCACTTTCTGTCCCCACCATCATGGTTCCAATTATAACCAGCTGTTTCTTTCCCCTTACACCCTCAATGTTTGAGACAACAACACTGTTATCTGACGCAATATGCCGGGCCTCTTTGCCTTACAACCAAATTCCGTTTTGTCAAACTGGTCGTAAGACGAATTTATATGTTTCAGCTAGGGCTGTACTGAATATTCACTTTGTATTTGCTTTGGGGCCGAATAGTGGACCGAATAACTTTTCGGTATTTGGCCGAATACTTGCGGTCGGGCCAAATATGAATAGTGGTTACCTTACACCCGTTTCTGCATACACTTCGATGAATGAAATAACTCTCTCATTAACACAATAGTTGCTGTTGCCTAAGTCTGTCGTAGCAGGGGAAACAGCGACCCGGTTGCGTGGTACAGCAGCTGGCAAAGTCTCTGCCTGCTGACTCAACCGAGGCATTACAGCAGAGGTTCTCAATCTGGGTGCATATGCTAGGGGTGCCGCGACGAAAATCAAGAAAAGTCAGCTATAAATTGTGACATTATTAAAGAAGACATGAAGATAGTTGAAAATTAAAATTAAAATTGTCTTTCCTCGCCACTGTCGAAAAGAGGACAGGTGACATGCAAAAACTGCATTTTATAAAATGAAGAACATCTTATGCAAATATATCTTTATCATTGAAGGTTAGAAAAAGAAAATCGTATGCAAATATATCTTTATCATTGAAGGTTAGAAAAAGAATTCTTGCTTGGTACATACATCCGGTTTTAACATATGGTTGTGAGTCCTGGACAATCGGTAGGTAGGCCAAACAATGTCTTGAGGCCTCAGAGATGTAGTTTTACAGAAGAATGCTTAGAATACCTTGGACAGCCAAAAAGATCAACCAAGAGGTTTTAAAAGAGGCGGGAGCCTGAAGACAACTAATCACAGACATCAGAAGGAGACAGTCATCATTTTTCGGCCATGTTGTAAGAAGAGGGGAAATGGAACATGTGGTGACCACTGGAAAGATATGTGGAAGGAGCGATAGAGGAAGCCAACAAGAGAAGATTTTTCACAGTCTTGTTGCATGGCATGGAGGTGTGTCAGCACACGAACTAATACATGCTGCAGGAGATCGCAGATTGTGGCGAAGCAAAAAAAAAATCGCCCACGCCAGTCGGCAAGGCACCTGATGATTATGATGATGATACACTATTCGTATTCGTAGGCGGCCGAATAGTTGGTCCCGCTATTCGTATTCGGCCGAATAGTGAAAATCACTATTCGGTAAAGCCCAAGTTTCAACACTATTTTTTCCCCTTAATTCAAACTGCGACTGCAGATAGTCTGCCATACGTGGTAGGGTCAAACATACTCGGATGTCTGGGCATCAGTTCCTCGAATGTTTTCACCCTACCAACGTAGTTATCTTTCTTTAAAATGAATTCAAGAGAAATTTGACTAAAAAGCTCAACAAAATGGGAAAGAGGAAAACGTGCACAAAACAACACAACGTGGTCGTTTGTGGTCGTTACGTGCGGATGGTTGTTGGTGGTACAAGGCAAGGAAAAGGGTGTAGTTAGAATCCTTTCCCTTCTACCCTGGAGTACTGATGAACATATGATTTTTTTGTCTAGTATATTATTTCACTGCTACCCCCGCATACAGGGCGCCGTCTTGGTGTACGGCTAGATGCTAGCCTGATGATCGGAAGGGCACGGGTTCAGCTCCCCTGCGAAGCTTTACTTTTTTTTTATGACCTTGGCCTTCAGGTCGACTCAGCTTTAAATGGGTAAGTAAAGGCGGATGTTGACCACATCACCTCTAAGTGGCCGACGGGGCTATAATATATATTGCCAGCCATATATACCCAATACGCCTGAAGGCGAGGACAAAAGTTCTTTCTGCTACATCTTGTACACGATGTTGCTATGTTGCAGTAAACACTGTCTTATTTTAATTTCCTTCTGTTTTTCCGGTCTCCGCCACACAGATCACAGTGATAACCCGAGAGCAGTGGTTCCCAAACTGTGCGCCGCGGCGCCCCGGGTAGCCGCGACCTCTTCACAGGTGCGCCGCGAAATATTCGAAGACACGCAAGTTGTTTGTTTTTTTTTAAATCTATTATATTCGAATAGTCTACTTTTACTTAGGTTAGGGCGCCGTGGAAAAAAATGTAATTGAGAAAAGGAGCTGCAATTAGTTACAGTTTGGGAAACACTGGCCTAGAGCCAAACTGCGCCACTGTCCAGAAATCACGTCGCTGTGTCTAGTACTCAAACGTGGTATCACAAACATGGTTCGTGCTTGAATGATAGGGGCAACGATGACAAACAAGAGGTGAAACTAATGGGTACTACAGTGAAGTCAGTCACAGCCGTAGCAAATGTAACTAGTCATTACAATGGAGCATGCTAATCAGACGCAGATTGAATACTAATATTTTTCCTGGTACCACACGTCGACAGCAACAGAAATAACTCGAAATGGGGATGAAACACGATTGAGCAGCCTGGAGAAAGACAAATGGCCACCACCACCACCATCATTATCATCGTCGTCATCATCATCATCATGACCATCTCGTTGAAACTGCCACCAAGTTGGCCAGTAATGACTATATTTCATGTCAAATTAGCCAGTTATTGCCAAATGGTATACAGAATTAGCCAACTGTCAGTAAATTCACTACTAAGCCAGTCAGCTGTCAGTAAGTTGTGAAATCTAACACAGATATACCAGTAACAATTAAGTTGCACGTTTAAAACGTCCGCTACTCCGTGTCGGTTACGGGAACATTATGTCCCCCCCCCCCCCCCCCCCTTTTTTTTCTGTGTGTGTGTGTGTGACAGTGAGTTAGAGAGTGTGTTTGTCAGAGACCTAATCTACACTACTTATTTTATCTGGCTCGCTAGGTAGGCCAACTGACAGACTCAACCACCCAGACACACTTAAGACGACACTCCTGCTGAGTACAACCATAATCTTTAATGTACAACAAACATTAGACATACAAACACTTCAACTGGGCTAAGCAGCTCCCATCCGAAACTGCCTTGGCGATGACAGCTTTACACTCACTAATCACCCCAGGCCAGCTCCCATGGATCCAGGGGAGCACGACTCTTAGCTAGCAGTGTCTCCGTGCCAATCAATCCGCCGTCTATTGCCCAACGGGACTTCAGCGATACACGGAAGGTGTATGGCCTAAGCGTGCCCGGGCAGTGTTATCGCCATTACAAGGCGCGTCACCTCGATTAACTGCTCAAACAAATACTGCATGGAATGTCTACTACACAAAGAACCTTAACTCTCTATACTATCTAGACGAAACATTAAATACAAATACAGCCTATCATAGACACTAAATACGAATATTCTATTTCAACCTAACCGTCGCTACCCTACCGTTACCTCGTCGTAATGTTTTCGTCCTGTCTCTCTATGTCGACCAGCACACAACCGTCCTACCCAACTGTCCGCACACAACTAACCTCAAACCCGCTTGGACAAAGCCTTTTGTATTTTCGCCGAGTTCATGGCTCAATCCGCAGCACTCGGTGTCAGCTGAGTGAATTCGACCTGGCCTCTAAACTGGGCACGGCTTATTGCGTGGACGAGCTGTCCGTTCACATACTGAGTTGTACTGAAGGTCAACTTGTACAAACGTGATGATTCACTATAGGACATCTGTTGTGCTTCCCATTACCGAACTGGCCTCTGACAGTGTTTGTGTGTGAGATGAGCAGGGAACTCATTGCTGTCTCTAACAAACAGGTCGTAAAACGCCTCTATTTAGAAATGTGCTGAAATCGGATATGTTGGCCCGAAAAGCACATGTATTGTAGAATAGATGTAAACCACTACACCACGTACTAGCCGCCCTTTTTAGGGTGAACGCGGAGCAGGGGGAGGAAGAAGAAGAAAAAGAAGAAGAACAAGAAGAAGAAGAAGAAGAAGAAGAAGAAGAAGAAGAAGAAGAAGAAGAAGAAGAAGAAGAAGAAGAAGAAGAAGAAGATGGCGACGATGATGTTTTCCCTAAAGTCAGTCACATTTTTAATAGCGAGAGGAAAAAAAAAAATCACACACGATATAAGTAACTAGGTTTGAGAACTCTGGCGCACATAACCCGAGTGCCCAACACATAACAAAACAGTTCTTGACTTTCAGATTCGCAATCAGAGGAACCAGTCATCTTATCGGCGACCTGGAGTCACACGGTGCTGTTAGTGAACCGTTCTACACACAGCAGCAGAGACAGGAGAGAAAACTGCCACAGGACCAGGCTTCTGGCAGCTACTTAAATGATATGACTGGCAGTGGGGCATTCCACAGATGTATTACTGTGTGCACACAGATAAGTCGTACAAGTTGCGCTACCGCTACGGGGATTTTACGTTTAGAGCAGTCTGTGGTGGGTCGCAGTCAATGTCAGAGTGCAAAGGTGAAGGGCGATTAAATAGGTCAGAGAGAAAGCAAGAAGGGGGGGGGGGGGGTGAGATGGGGAAGGCTGAATGGATGAATGTAAGGACACAGGGATGTTGACAGATATGACAAAAATAACGAAGAAATACTACTTATGTATACACACGTGTGTGTGTGCGCGCGCGCGCGCAAGACAGACAGTGAGATATAAGTACATATATAACCTTCAACAGAAATATGAATATATGAACAAGCTGACAGAGGATAGATAATCGCGTATACAGACAACTGGAGGCAAGGTAAGTGAATAAGTAGGTAATCATTGACGTCAGGGGCCGAAAGTTCCAAAAATGAAGTTTATCACGATCGTTACGGGTCAGAGGTCTGAGACCAAGCATAGAAAGATCATCAGTTCAAGACACCTTGCTATGATCTGTGGACCATTTGCTAGGCCTTCGCGGGCCAGATGTGACCCGCGTGCCGCCAGTTGAATAGCCCCGATTTAGGTGATAAAAGCGGCTCTGTGGCTCGGTTGGAGATTAGGTGAATACCGTT